ACCACCCAGCCGGAGCGGGAAAGATTCATGAGATGGTTCGGTTAATTTATTGTGGAGGGGACACGGCGTGCGCGTCGTGTTTGGCGCGCCCGTCCTCGTCCTCTCAAATGGAGCTCATTCATCGTCGATGCCATCGGTCTCGCGCTTTCGATTCGTCCGCATCCTTGCTATTCGTCCATATATCGTTGCCATTCGCCCAGCATCATTGCCATTCTTCCTCATCATTGCTACTCGTCCACGTCATTGCTGTTCATCCACGTCATTGCTGTTCATCCGCGTCATCGCCATTCATCCGCGTCATTGCCGTTCGTCCTCGTCTTCCGGGTCCCTTCGACACATCCTATCTTCGTCGCTTCGTGAGTGGGTTAGGGTTGGAGGGCCGATAATGCGGAGCAGAGGGGAAAGGCGGGACGAGTGGATTGTGACGCACCAGTCTCATTTTCAGCACATCAGGGTTGTCCTCGGCGGGAACCGGGGTGTTTTCCGCTTTTCATTGCTATTTTACGCTTCTTTACGTTTCCCGCTGTCTTTGCATCTGTATCATGATATCGCACACACGTCTGTACGCAGCTAACATGTAGTAGCACACGGAGCACAGAGACGGTGAACGGACTTATCTTCATATGATATTAAGCATTGAGTCAATATTGTGGCTTGTACAAACGTGACTCTTGAGGGTGTCAACGCGATGGCGCATCCGTCGGATCGATGTACAGCCCCGTCGATGCACGCGGAGCCCCCGCCGTAGACTCGGCAGTTGAAGCCAGGTAATGCGCATGGCACTGAGCGTCCTCGGCGAGGTCACCAATCGCCAGATCTGGAGCTTGCAGTCGTCTGCACATAAAAAGGTGCGGAGCACCGAGATAGTGGATAGATTCAATTTAAGGCGGATTTGATACTGACCTGATGCTTGAGTCGCATATAACAAATTGGCCAGTATAATCGCCAGTTTGCGAAGTATAAACGCGATGCCCGTGGCATCCACTCGGATCGATAGACCCATTATGCAGCATTTCTATAGCAGATGTGGGCTGGTCTTAAAATCATGGCACTCAACGGCTGGAGGGTGTGGAGATGTGGAGGTTCATTGAGCACATAACGTAGATAGACGTCACGACAGCGTGACTTGCAGAAATATATTCGCCCTTGGATCGCGTGACTGGGTGTGACTCGACGCGTGGAATGCGATCACGTGGACGCGTTCCTACAAACCCGCCCGGGATTGTATTGTCCAATAAGCGCCGCCATAAAGTAGAAAGCAGCGGGAAGGGACATCTACGCGCGCAGAAGCATAAAGTGAATATGTCAGGCAATAATACCCCAAGTCACAGTTGGAAGCACTTGCCGTTTGTGAGGTATTTTGATGCCGAGGGGAGTTATCATGGATAGCGAATGCTGTACCTGATAGGAAAGATGGAAGTGGTGTAACTGCTACAAGTGGCGAGAGGATATACCAGGAAACACGCCCTCTTTTGTACTGCACGTACTGCGGACAACCCAGATTCGGAAAATATAAGCCGCGCTGGCCGAATGCCACACCTTGTGCACGGCCGGACAAGGTAGAAAGTACTCATGCGTATGTGAGCGTCCACTCAAACCATGTGAATTGTATGGCAATCGATATATAGTCAGCTATATACCGACCGCGATACAACTGCATATGGCGAGCATTCACTGGTGAAGGGGGCCGTCGGCTGTCTATCCAAGTGGGAGAAGATACCATTCGAAGCGAAAAATGTATGAATACGACATACCTCAAAAACGCACGTATTCTGGGGCACAAACTTCGTGAAAGTCTAATCAACAGAAGCTGTCATCCTGCGATTCCGAGATGTAGACTGCATGTTCCATCGATCAGCTTGCAAAGAGTGCAAGAAGGACGTCGTCCGGTGTTAGCAGTGACAAGTGTTCACAACGAAAGGTCTCGCAGGACGGTACAAATTGTCGCTCGCAAAGATATTTCCACGTCAAACTCTGACCATGCGCTCGTGCACTCGGACATGTGCAAAGTAGAAAAAAATGGCAGGCAAGATGCAAAACACAAACTCAAAAGCAGATGCTGGTCAACCTCGTTAAGCATCACCGTTCCTAGTCTCTAGAGCATCACTCACCGTATCCTTGCCCATAACCTCCATGCATCCGACTCCATAGATCACGCAATTGAGATCCCTGTCGGCCAGATCGGGTAGTCTACTAATACGAGGACGTTCCCACCTCCCAGACGTCAAAGCGAAGGTAGACTGGGTGGACAAGCCAAGAATTTTGGGCGCGACGAGCACTCCGCTGACGGACTCGTCGCAAGCGGTGGGAGAAGAGAGCAAGATGAGGCGCTTAGTACGTGAGAAAATTCGTGATCGATGGTAGGGAGTGTTGCTCAGCGCTCAGGCCTCAAATCTGACGCTCGAATAGCTCCCTCGCCGTTCTACAGAATTGAAACGCTGACATTCATATAGTCTGAACACACCTGCCTTTTTTTCCAGTAAGTTGCGCAATCAATCCAAGTAGATATGCCCCACAAGGCTGGTCAGATCTCTTTGAGTCTACCGTCAAAACAGCGACGAGGACCAAATATACTTTGGAGTCCCCGAACGAGACTTGTCTTGTGCTGCGGAGAATTACGAGGAAGCCCACCGTTCTTCCCGGATTCGCTCAGTGGCACCCTCCCGAAAACCTTGTAGTTTCGTCACTACGCCATCTGCTTAACGGGAGGCAGCGGCCACGCTCGTTCAAAAGCACTTTCGGGATTCGAACGTTCACGTCTTATCCTTAGCAGATGCGCAAGAACAACGTTCTGGCGAGAGGCGCCCTTGCGCTTCAACGTAGAGGTTCTGTTTCGCCTTGCGATTCGCGTTCTGTAGGTCGTTACTTCAGGCTGTACCTTATATCTCTGTGCAAGCGGATCTAGTCAGGATTCTGCGTGCAACTCGGGTGGCTGAGTCTCATCGAGCAATTTATTCCGAGATCTGTGAAACAATTCTATGTGTCGTTCGTGCTGAATGTGGTCACCTCGGAGTGCACAGCCAGCGGATGCTTGATGCTGGCTTCATTGAGCGCACCCATCATATTCGAATTGTATAGCGGTCGGTGAGTGGTTGAGGGATGGGCAAGGCAGTTGACATAGATCGAATGCGGTTCGTCAACACAATTATATCCTCATTCAGATGCTGCATAATTATATAACTTCTCTGCAATGCCTATCAGCATTCACCCGGAACGCGCCAAGTGAGTCTACGCACCCATAAAGCATACACATAATTCGATCTTCCTTTGTCTTGTCGCGCACAAAGGTTGCAGTGTAGAGGCGGCGTCGCCCGGCGCCGCCAACCCCTCCTGAGACTGCATTGTCCGCCTCCTGTGCGGTATAAAAGGAGTGCCTGCCTCCTGGTCGAACCTCACCTGAATCCACCATTTCACAGATCTGCCTCCAAGATACTCTCCTCACGACGATGAGAATCCCCTGGATCCTCGCCTACTCGTCTCGCATCTCACATAACGACAGAGCTCGTACGAGTGTCCGACTGCGACTATCCGATGGAAGCCGGTCTTCAAGGCAACCGCACCTCCTTCAGCGACAAAGGGAGTGGTCAGCCAGAGACGTGGTGCCGACTCTGTCAGCGCTTCCCCGTTTGGACGCAGAGAGCCACGCGCAATCGCGTTCACGCACCATGCGACCATCGGAGGAGCGGCAGGGGCTGCAATGTGGAGAGCGAGTGAGGTGGAGGATGGTAAAAACTGGAGACGAGCACTGGGCATCTCATCCACCAACGCAGAGGTGACACATCCCGACCATCTTCATCCTCTGTCCTCTATGGTGTATAAGGAGACCTCCTCCACCATCGTTGGGAACTACATCCTCGCGGGTGGACGACGAAAGAGAATGGAATTGTCCAAGGTGCTTGCCGTTGCCGCACCTTGGTGGCGGGAGATGGAGAACGTCCGGCCATTCCTACCGAACCTGCTACCTGGCTGCACAACGCGATGAGTCTCCGCGTTGTGTGGTCGCTCTCTCGGCTGACAGATGGATGCGATGCTCTGCGCCCTTCCCCTCCACCGTGTAGAGGGATCATCTGCACGCAGCTCTGTAACCGCAATCGTCCCTTTTCAGAGATGCAGATGGTCTCTGAAGGTGCGCTACATCGTCCGCGCTCTTCCCATGCCTGTCACCCCGCTGCACAACTACACCGTTGCATCGGCCACTGATGACGTGCGCAACTGGGAGGCATCAGCTTCGCGTCAATGGATGCCCACGCCTGTTGTCTTGGGGCGCGAGAAGCTTGCGCTCCCAACGATCAGCCTCACCGCGGTCATCGCTTGTGGACGTCGCGCTACCGACTGTCCCCTTGTGAGCAGATGATGTGGGTGTATTCCATGGCTGTTCGGTATTTCAATTGCATGTTACTGCTGTCACGGAACCGTTCACGGCGTGTGCAACCTGCTGGGAGAGTTGAGATGGCAGTGATGAAGATGGTGGTGTGGTGTTGGTGAGATGACAATGGTCGGATAGGGGAACTGGAAATCTACCAAAGATCCAATGGTTTGTGTGGTGTGGAGGACGACGAGAATGATGGCGCGATTGAGGACGCGCTTTTGTACTGCCCCCATCTTTGTTGTGGGATATGCTGGGCGGCGGGTCTGTCTGGTGGCGGCGAGACATAGGAAGTATGTCGTACGGTACTTTCCGGTCTGTTTCCTTTGTGCTATTGTATCATGCATGCATAATGGATCCGTATATGCGCCTGTTTCCTTTTGCTCTCTACTTTCACTGCGTTCCAAAGACACGCGCACGCCGCCTGCACGTGACCGTGTGGTTTCTGGCTGACGGCGGCTGGCTACTCCGCGATCCATCGCCCACAACTCCAATACCGCCATGTAAATAGACACACCACAGTCCTCATGCCTATCGACATTGTTTCCGTAACCCACACGTTCATCTTTTCCCGCTCCAATAACTGTACCCTTTAGGCTATCTCGAGTTCTGACGGCTTTTCAACGTCCTCGTCATGACACCAATACTCGTCCTTGACCATTTTTACCTCTCTATTAGCCTCCTCGTCACCATTGGGTATCAGCTCCTAGGCTTCGCTATCGCATGGACGTTCCAGGTGAGCAAGTTGTATTTTTAATGGGAGGTCGGCCGTTTTTAACATCATTTTTCCTCCGTGCTGCTAGTTTGACAAGATCACAGACTTCACTGGAGGTGCGTACTCGGTGATTTTTCTGTTCAGCAGTCAGGATTCAGTGTTGACTCCTCATTTGTGGAAGGTTCAAATGTGTTTATATTGTGTGCGTATCTCCCATCATCGGCCAAATCCATACTGTTGATGGAATAATGACACACAGCGTTGCTCACTTGGCTTCTCGGTGGCAATTTCTCTGCTCGTAACATCATCGCGAATGTATTTGTAATGGTTTGAGCCGTCCGTCTGGCTAGTACGTCATGACTCACTTTGTCCGCTCCGTGCTGACAGTAGTGGGAATGAATGTAGCTTTCCTCTTATACCGAGTGCTTAAGTATGGGAGTGATAGTCGTTTTGATGATATACGTTCCCATTTCTTTAAATTCCTCGGTATGTGCAGATTCCTTGTTCCCATTCATATTTATCTGACACTGTGTTACCGCAGGATTCTGGGTCGGTAGGTCATTCCCATCTCTTTGTGGCGAACATGGCTTACTTCTGCGTTATACGTATCTCAAGGTCAAATAATTTGGGTAAGCATGAACGGACCTTCCGACTCACAGTCTACTGATACTGTATTGACCCTCTTAGGTATGGACGATCTCGCTTCCTCTGACAATCCTCAACTCCCCCGCGCTTTCGGAGCACTCATCATATGCAGTATGGGGCAAGGTGACCGACATTCTTGGCGTCATTTTCTTCTGGATTGGTTGGAGCTTTGAGACTTCCGCGGACCTGCGTAAGGTCAGTGTCGCACTTATCCGATGCACGTCTATCAACCGCTCATTCGTTGCTCGCACAACTTGTAGTTCATGTACAAGGCCTCAAATCCGCCGAAGGACAAGCCGATCAATGTATGTAGTTCGTATTTATGTGATATTTCGCACCATTCTGATATTCTACGTGACAAGTAGGTCGGTCTATGGAAGTGGTCACGCCATCCGTCATATTTCGGCGAGTGAGTATCAAGTTTCTCTTATAATTACTGGACGAATCTTATCTGTAAACGTTTCAGGATGCTCTGCTGGTGAAGAATCTGGCTCATCTGCGTCACTCCTAGTCTGCACGGCAGCCTCAGCCCATCTACCAAGGCTGCACAGTATGGTGCGGTCGTGTCCCCGCTTTCCACCATGTCGTACGTTCCATCGATCTGATGTTCTTATCACGCACCGTTAACTCTTCCCCTCCACCCAGCTTGCTCCTCTTCGCTTCTGGCCTCCCGACTGCCGAAAAGCCGCAAGCGCGCAAGTTCTACCTGCTCTCGCACCCTCTGCCAGGGTCCGAGGAAGACCACAGTTCGGCGACGCGTAGGACAGTTGAAAGCAACATAGAGGACGACAGCTCCACTACGCCCGTCGCAAGGCTCGCTGAGAACTCCGCGTGGGAGATCTACTAGGCGTACCGCGCGCAGACGTCCATCCTGCTCCCGCTCCCTCTCATACTCTACCGCCACCTGCCGAGGTTTGTGAAACAGACGATCTTGTGTGACTGGCCGATGTACGAGTTCAAGCCGGAGCGGGATCTGCAGGGATGAGTGGTTCGAGCCTCGAGGGGATATTTTTTGGTGCCTTCATAAGCTACTGCCTGCAGATGTAATGTACCTGCGTTTGCTTCTCTAAGTCGCCATACGCGGCACAGAAATATTTATTGGTTTTGAAACTCCACTTATGTCACTCGTAATGCGAGCACCGTCCGCACCAGTATAAAATATTCGCCGCCCTCACGTTCTCTAGCAGACCTTCCAACTTCGCGCCGACTACGATGGGCACTCACCATGCTCACTTCGCATATACACTCCTTCTGCGCTCGTCCTCGCGCCCCGCAATCCGGTACTCCATCACCCTGCGACGGCAGAGGATCAATCAACTGGTGCACACGGTCGCGCGCAGCTCGAACGTCGAAGTATATCACGGATAGCATACTCCTATAATTCCTCTACTGCGCATTGTCTACCCGGCCGATTCTGCCCTAGTCCGTGAATATTACAGCGCGCCGAGGTGAAAAACACATGGAGATATGTCGTCACTGCGGCACACCCGTAAATCTCAAAATAATCCAATGTTTCGTCGCGCTTCTATTACAACACTGTCGACAGGACGCCAATGAGTGCGTAGAGAATAATGACCATGCGAACGACGACAACAGGTTCCAAGTACAAGGTCTAAAATCGTCATCATACTTCTACGGCAGCGAGAGGAAAAGCTCGAGCAATTTCGGGAAGTTGGGCGTGCCAACGCCCGTAACAGGGTCCCAGCCTCGCTCAGCATAGAACCCCACAGTGCCGCAGCCTGGATTCGTGCCAGTCGTAATGTCATTGAACGCTTCCATGCCGCGGGGCGTGTAGATCTGCGTGACGGAGAAACACAGCGCTTCGGTGAGCTTTCGACGGAATGGAGGAGTCGGACGTACCGCAGGGTTGATGAAGCCCATCGGACCCTTTCCGACAGCAAGGCGAGCGTCATTAACGGCGGAGAGGATGGCGGCTGAGACCGGGGAAGAGCATGAGGTTCCGTAGACCAACATGTATTCGCCCTGGATGGCGACGACGTAGTTTGCACTGCAGGTAAGCATCAGTGTGAGCCTTCATGTCTCAACCCAGTAGTGAGGGACCGTACCCATTCGCAGAGATGTCGGGGAATGCACGCGACGTGCCGGTCGAGTTCCAGATGTCAGCAGGGTACGGTGGGGGATAGTTCGCGAGGTATGACTCGACTGCTGTCTTCTGGTACGACGGCATGGCGAACACGTTCGACCATCCTCCGCTGGAGTAGATCACTTGCTCGCACGCGCTTTCAGGCTCGGGAACCTATCCGGTTGACCTGACTAGTGAACTACGGTCGTACAGCGCGAAAATACGACATACCGTGGAATTTGGGTTGACCTGAGTGGCGCCGACACTCGTAATGTACGGGCAGGTTGAGGGGAACGTCGGACGTTGATCGTCCTTCTTTGAACACTGACATTTTTGTCTTAATCGTTCATTTTATAGCACAAGGTGGTGCGGGACGAATCACCTCCAGAGCTATACCTCGTTGCTCTGGACCCTGTTGAAGCAGATGTATTTCGTGTGGAGATGCACACCGCCCCTCCTTTAGATCTGGTCTCTTTATTACACCCTTTTCGGACGAAAATGTAGCTACCGAGATAACTGTATTTCTAGTAAATTTATCTGTTTGTTACACTCGTTCTTTTCTTCGGTGGAATTATCGATTCGATGTGCACATGTTCGCAAGAAATACACCGATGCTGTTCTCTGCACACAATACTGTAGGACATGTTGCGTACATTAGCGGTGAGTTCTCCCAATCGATTCGTTTCACGCTCTAACATATAACACAGCGCCGGAGCACCGTCGCAGCTACGGCTGCCGTAGTCGCAGTGCAAAGCGACGAGGTACGCCGAACGTCCTCGGCGTAAGCGCACACGCTCACCAGCTGTTGGACATCCGAAGCTTCCGATATATTCTGCACCGACCCCAGATATTGTCCTCGTTGAGACACCATCGAATTTGGAGACGCAGATAGGCAATGCTCGCCGTGCAGTCACCCCTCGCTACCTCGAGGCACACGCCCAGGTGTCTTTTCCCGAACGATCATGATCGGTGTGGAAGAAGCCGTCGAAAGTGCACCATCTCGCATCCAAATCGTTTATTTCAGCGCTGACGAGTGCCCCATCTTGGTTTTCACTTCCGCCTTCACTCGTTCGCAGAGCGGGTAAAGTCGCTCGTCGCTGCGGATGAGCCAGTCACGCCAGGCATACTCTACGTCGGGGTCGCGACCGTGACTGGCTCCATCTTCGCGCGGAACTGCGGCCTCTTCACCCGCGCGCTGCTCCCGCCCACTCTGCTCGTCCTCTCCCTCAACCACTTCCTGCGTTATGAAGCCTGAGGCTTGACTTTGCCAGGTGTCTCTCGTCGCGTTCTATAAATGCTGCACCCTCGACTAGCGTCTCCCACGTCCACCACGCCTGATCCCTCGTCACGCAACGCGTTCAATCTAGCCTTCATCATACGTCGACGCGCAACGTGTCACCATGTCAAGTGTTCTGGTCCTGCGCGAATGACGTACTGAGTTGACAGCTCAAGTTTACATTGACCAACTCGAATTCACTAGATCCTCTGCCGTTCGGTGCTGATACTCTATTTCTCTCTCCCTTCAGATGAATTTCAATTAATTTCCTGCAGGGTACTACAGCTATAGTCTAGCGCCCTTCCAGCAGCCCTGCCCGTCCCACCATTAGTGCCTGACAACGTCTCTGGCCCATCCTGCGTACTTGGTATGAATTGCTTTCTCTCCATATGACGATCAGCCGTTGTCCGCTGCATATGCTGGTGAGTCGGGTGCTCCTGGTCGCAACTGCGATTCGCCCAACTGTTCCGTTCTCCACGTTCTCTGTGCACATTCACCCCGACATGACATACCGATACACATGCACTGCCCAACTTCCCGCCTCATCCGACGCGCGATGCGAGGCTAACCAGGACGGTGAACTCTTAATCTCTGCGCTACGACCTGGGGCGGCTACGCCCCCCCCACTGAGACTCATCAAGGACCGTCGGAACATTTCAGACAATCTGCAACTGACATCCGTGCCTCTACATTCCAATACAGCAGGCTGGTCGGCGTTTCCACCCTCTACGGCCACCATCAAGGCATACTCCGTGTTCGCAGCCCCGAGTCAGCGTCTACACCGCCAACTCTTACCCGATAATTAACTTCAAGATTTGGATTGCGCTGGGGGTGAGTGTCCGTTCACGCGGAGAATACCATTAGCGCCTCCACGACGCGGCGCCGTGCGTTTTGGCGTTGAACATCTCACTCCAGTCGAGGCCTATGTACGACGACCCAGGCTACGTGTTCGTTCGATGCCCGCTGCACTGAGTTAGCAGCATCTGGATCGCTCCGCTCTGCTTGTCTGGATTGCACTGGAGCTTTATGACACTGGGAAACCTGAATTTGTCGTCAGCCGTGTAAAGGTGTAACCTTCAACCGGGCTTGCAACGTACGTGGTCAATGGCTATCGACCATCCAGGCTATGTAGTGTATCCATCCAGCACTCCGGGTCCATTCGCGTCGACGTCTACTCTTGGATGTCTCACCCGACAATTGGCTCGATATCTGGATGTTCCCGGTGCATGGTTCGCGAAGGAATGTGTTGTCGACCGTGCGGTACACTCTTTGGCGTTGATGCTCCCGAGGTTCTCTTCTCGCTCTGGTTCAACGTTTCAATCGTCGCCAAACGTGTGTCCCAGGTATCAAGTCAAGCCGCCTGCATTCGGGGCTCCAATGGTTCTTCGAGATGTTGGACGTCACAGCCAGAGAGATGGGACGTCGGCGCGTCTCCTCTATGGTACGAGCGTCTCGAAGGCTTCTTTGTGCGTGCATGGACTCGCATGTGAACTACGTTATTCCTGCTTTGCACCAGCTATGCGGCTTCATTCTTACTAGGCACTTGTATCGGCACCGTTTCTCAATACCGCCCGACGATGCATCTCACGTCCGCCCTTCTCTCTACCTCGCAGTTCGAAACGGTCGAGCGTCTCTTCTTCGCAGGGCGGGAAGGGTGCAAGCCGGGCCCTTACCATCCCTGTGAAGCTCGTCCCAATTTATGTGATCACTGAACAACTCGTGGATAATCGAACTGGGCAACTTCACGATCACAGTGGGAACAAGCGACAGGGTGCTCCTCAATACAACACCTATCGCACAGTCATGCTGGATAAAGTCTACTTTCAGTCATCAATGTTAGATACGTGCAAGGAGCCCTGACATTCCGCTGTCAATACTTCGTAAAACAACAACTCTACCTGCTGGCGATACGTGATGGAGGAACAGTCGTAGCCACTACTTAATCATGACCTGCTCGCCGAATTTTCCAACAGGGCGGTAGGAAGGAGTTCAATTCTCGGCGAAAGCGAGGTTTCAGTGGTGCCGGACCGTGCAACGGCACAAAAGATCCCGACGTCCACGTCGCTCCTATGACCTTCTCCAACTCGTCGAAAATCTTCTTTGGATCGTGGTCCCAGGGACTATAACCAAATTCCTCCAGTGCGAACATGCCCTTTCGCACAGATAACCACAAAACAAGGATGCGAACCACTCTCCATATCCGACCATCAATGCTGTGCTGTTCGGCCGATTGAGTCGTCCCAGAGCGCATATCGATCAGGACAAGATTCGTAAACTGCGCCTTTTGATATCTGCGGTGATCGTGATGTCGAGGACTCCATCCATCCAACAACGCTCTGTACCTTACGTCGTGGCACCTCTTCAGCAGCGCATAGCATAGGATCCAGATGAACGACATCATGCCATTGCAGTAATGTCTGTATGCTCGTCTTTTGTCGGAATTCTTGTCGTGGTAAGTTAACGGTCGGAAGACTCCAGGCCGTCTCTTGCCACGCGAAATGTCCAAGTCGGTTAGCACCCCACGCTTCGTGTGTACATCGTACATCAAGTTTTGCAGCCCGATGTCATCGCACACCACGCCCTGCGTCCACAGACGATAATGACCTAGTGAATATTCGCGTCGATTTTTCAAAAAGCATTCAGCTGCGTTAAGCGATGTTACTCACTGCGATAGCAGTCGACCCAAGCTTTTAGAAACTCATTTCCCTCCAGCTTAGTGATGGGCTCGAGGCGGTGCGATCGTAAAGCACTGGATTTGCAGGAGATAGCGTGCTGAGCGGCGCCGTTCTGGTCTTCCTTTACTTCCATCACCATATAACTGGCGTTACGGGTTAATGGTGCGGTACGTCGGAAAGTACGCCGTTTTTGATTGCTCACCATCAGCTTACTGAGCGAGAGTGCCGAGGAGAGCCTGAGCAATGGGAATGCAGACGAGGGTGCAAACTTATTCTTCTCATCTCGAGGCAAGTTTACCGTCCTATCATTTACGGCATCTTAGAAGCTATGTCTCCTCATGGTGCCACCGTGTCACGGTGTACAGCTGGAAGGAAGTAGAAACGTAAGTGGAACGGAGGTGGCCCGGAGATCGCCGGTTGGGGCGACCTGAACGGGCCGCCTTCAAGTTATAGTTGCGCACATTTCTGACTGACCACAGCTGACCACTGACCGTACAGCCATCTCTGCCATCTCTCAGATCTCAGCATTTACAGCTATGTGTGCTCTGTACCCTGCTGCTAGAGGAGCATTCTTTCGACGAGTCGTATTCAATCAAGGGAAAGGTTGCACGCTGAGAAATCACTGGCACAAGAAGCTGCTTACTAGTAATGTACATCGTACAAAGCTCTGAAGCAGAGTCCAAGTCTTACATATTACTACAATGGTTAGTATCACATTACTGCCACTGCAAGAAAGTATGTATGCGCTCCTGTCCGTGATTACTATCGTCACGCTACTATACTTCAACGTTCGGGGGGTGATAGAGTTGTGCGGTACAGGGATAGAAATACAACCCACATCGGGTGAGGAATGATGGCTAAATGGCGCCTAGCTTCACAGATTATTTGCCGCAATATGTCGCATGATAGTCAGAGACGCGAGAATCTCTGACAAGGGGTCGTTCGAGTTAGTCCCGACCGGTTTGACGTCGCTAACACAGACCGAAGCTCACCGACAGACAGATCCGCATACGCTTCGTAAATCGTCAAGATATTCCCCGATGTTCGGTAAGCAGGCTTTTCTGGCGGTTTGAGGTCGTAGTGTGCTACGAGGTAATTTCTAGAATCCACACACTGCGAAGCAGACCATCAACTTTTGGGTCCCGCAGGCTGCGCTGTAGGCGACTGACCGTCCACTCTTGGTCCTGGACACTTTTGTATGTCCACTTGTATTCCTCTCCGTCTGACCCTCTGAACTTGCGCGAAAGAGATCTGCGGCACTGTGAGCATGATTGGACCATTCAAGGCAAAGGTGCACTGACCCTCCAAACATCGACGTCTTTTTCAGATACTGGCCCATCGGCATGGAGATGGACGAGCCTGTGAACGAGATCCTCCACAGCGCACCTTGCGGGCCGAATTCGAGCACGATAGCGGGCTCACGCTGGGTCGGGCGATAGTCGCGTTGGCTCGACGAGCGGCGGCCCATGTTATATATCATGATTGTCTCGTCCGCACTCTGCGCAGTTTTCTCGGACGATCGCGAGGCACGGAGGAAGAGACGGTCGTAGATGTCGTCAAAGTCGGAGCCAGTGAAGACACCCGTGCGGTCCTCGAGGAAGAAGGGCAACGTCTTGTTGATCATCGCAATGGTTTGCTACACGATGGAAGCGAGCACGCCGGGGACTCGGAGCTGGGCTGCGTGTGCAGACCAGGAATCTGGAGGGAGGTAGGTTGTGTTCCTCGTCTCGCTACTGGAACTTTTATATCAGACGATCGACTGCGTCAGATCCGAATGCGGCAAAAGCTCGCCATGCACTTCACTGGGACGGTACTCGCCAAGGAAGCAGATATCAATGGCTGCAGCCAGATTCACACCACCTAATGTGGACAGGTGGGCTGCCCTGATATAGGGAAGCTGAGAAGCGCCTTGCTAAGCACAGACTCGGCCTAGCGCAGCACGCTAACAGTCCCTGGGCGGCGCGCTGCGAATGCTTTGTTTTAGCAGGCAAATATAATATAGTTGGTGAAACTTGTGTCTTCTTCGACGCTGTGCACAAGGAAACTGATTCAACTGAGCTCGAGGGTTTGAAAGTGACAATTACCGCCACGGAATTTTCCCACCGCGGGTGTCACTTAGGTGGTACGCATGATCATCGAGGTAGAGTTTACTCTCCTACGCGGCCGGACGACCCAGGAAGCACCCACGCATTGCGCGCCTTGTGGTTGCGAACAGCAAGAATGTCTTCTGTCAACGTACTCCACTCCGCGCTCAGGGACAATGCCAATACGCAAGGCCTTGTCGGTGCATGTGCCCTCCCGATCCCACGAATAATGTCAATGCTCCTTGATCAGTATTCAATGCTCGGAGGCTCGCGATGGTCCGAGAAAAAACAATGCCGATATGGCGTCTGTGTGGCACAAAAGGCACACGAAATCTGCCATCTGACCTTGCGATCATGATCAAGATCATCCACGATCTTTGGCGGAAGTAGGGCGGGACCAATTTTGTTGGAAGTAGTCACTTACGGCAGTGTGTGGGGCTGGCTTTCTCGGAGAACTCGGACGCCAAAGGCAGAACTCAGACCTCAGAAGCTCCTCCGCAAAAGATATAAATCCTCCTGGTTGCGTAGTCACAGGGTGAGCGGAGGAAGTCTGGGCAAAACATGAGGTGCTCACCTGGCATTGGTTTCGTGCGGATATGAACGAGAGAGCCGAAGGTGAATGTCCCACGCAAATAGAGGTGGAAAAGACTCACCAGCTGACCTTGCCAGACGTCCCACCAGCGATTGACATTTGGTGGTTACAATTTAGTGCCCAACTGCGCAGAAGGCGCGCGGCTTGACAGGTGACATATACGGACGCCTGCTATATCAGAGGTTGAGCGACCATCGAGGCGAAATAGGCCCGAGCGAGCACGAATGCACATCAGACTCGAGTGGACTCGAACACCCTAGTGCGTGCAGCCACTTGGCAAATTCAACGTAGACATGGCCAGGCAGAGCAATATTGTTGCATGCAGGAGTGCCTCGTCTCGAGGACCATACATCAAAGACGTGGACACTGGTCACTGGACTTCGTGCACACCATCCCTATAGTAGCGAGAAGTATCCGGCGTCCAAACCAAAGCAGTGAAAGGATCCGAGAAGACCAGCCTTTGACTGAAGTGTAGCGCGGAGCACGCACCTCGAAGGCGCATACTGACTGAAAGGTGGGCCGTCTACCCCGAAAAGGGATACCACAACAGAGAATGCCGATCGTAAGACCCATCGCAGGTAAGTTGGGAGATTTCCTCAGTCAGCATTCGACATTAGTATATATTGACAACCTCGACATCTGATATAGCAACACAGCAATACGAATCGCGTGTCATGCAGCCCGTTCGTAATTTTGCATGAGTGTCCTACGCCTGCTGGATCATGGGGTATGAGCCCACATACAATGTCATGAACAGAAAATGGCACACCATCTCACGCGAGCTCAGATCAACGGCACCACGTGTCCCACTCTACACCATCATATACGCAACTTACAACGCGTTGTTGCCCATGCTTATAATCTCGGCACTGGCTTTTGCGTCTAGGAACAACTCGGCCATCTCATTGATATCCTCGAGCTCAATCTGCTTGCGGCCGGCGAGGCCAGCGAGGATTGAGGCAGGAGCTAGCAGTTGCAAAGCATACCTAAGGAATATGGGTTGTTCGAAGTCAAGTGAGTTGATGAACTAGTTAAAAACATACCGTAGCGAACTGTTGGATCCACGCTCTGCCAATTTTTCCAGCACACCGGAGCCCAATGTGAATCCCTCAAAATTTGCACGGAGTTGAATGACTTTGGCGATTTCCTCTCGCTCGTAGCCTGGTGTCTTGACAATAAGACAGCTGATTATAGAAAACATTGAGCACCATGCACAACATATGCATTCACCGAACGCCCTACCGGTCAAGTAGATCGAGAGGAATGCCGTGCGGTGAGACAATGTCAGTCGTTCCACGGATGACAGCATTTCCACGGTTAGTGGCGAAAATGACTGTTGGTGCCATCGGCGACTCCAATAATGCGTTCAAGTATGTGAAGCATTCGATGTCGAGCATGTGTACCTGTGAGCGATACCATGAGCTACGGACACGGGCAGGGCATTGTGCGCACCAACCTCATCAATGAACACTACGCCGGGTACGACCTCAGCGACACCCTGGTCGACGTACCCCTTGACGACCTTATTTACTTCTCTCCGCAACTTCTCAGTCACTTCTGTCCGCCCACTCCTCACCAAGCTGCCCATCACACTCATGATGTCCTGTCCACCCTGAGGCCGCGCATTCGCTGCATCAAGATCTCCGAGAGTCACGTCCTGAACGAGCTCCTTCCGCTTGTGTACCTCGCCCTTGGGGAGAGGTACATATGTTTCCGATTCCAAGTCATAAGAGGATGCGTACGCGTCCGAACGTCCAACACGCTGTGAACGGGTTGAGACGTATCCACCCTGAAGAGTAAATATATGAACATATGACGTACCTTCACCGCGCCTGTGTTGTGTTCGACGTAAATGACATCCCCGACCACGATCTTTTCCTTCAGGATCGCCTCGTAGATGGTTGGATCAAGGCGCAGCTGTTTTGTGCCCTTGACTGTCTTGAGCCCAACGACGACATGAGAGACAGTCTTCCCGTACCCGCTCAGAGGGTTCTCGGACTCCGTCGGCGTCAGTTCCGTCACCTCTCCTTCATACACATCCTTGGTCTCCTTTATCCGCAGACCTGCATACGAAACTCTTCAGTGAACGGAAAGATACGTAGTGAAGATAACCGCACCTATTGCCCGACGGAACGCTTCCGCCAAAACTTCCGTTTTCTTCACCTCAGTGCTATACACCTCCGAACCCACCATAGGACAAAACGGTACCTTCGCACCGAGCTCCTGAGAAATCGCCAAGGCTAGCGCCGTCTTCCCCGTCCCTGGGGCTCCTGCAAGGAGCAATGCACGCCCTGAAAACTTCTTCGTCTTGACGAGTTCGACTACAACACCACACGCCTAGTAAGAAGGTGCATAAGTGCCTGCGCATAGAGTGAGAAGAAAGTGATTCGTACCTCACGCGCAAGTGCCTGCCCAATGAATCCTCCTGCATCTCCAGCTATGTAGCCCTCCGCAGTGAGACCGAGGCCCTTGATATGCGAATGTGGCGCAATACGGGAGGAGCGCGCTGCAGAAGCTGTGGGAGGCGGTGGGAGAGCATTGTGTGCTACGGGCGTTGAAGACGAGGACGCGACTTTTGCAAAAGACATCGTTGTCGCGCTCGACGGCGAGCAGTGAAATGCAAGAATTTGTGTGGCGTCCTGAACTTTCTAGCGTTATCACAAGACCTACTAGAGTGGTTACGACGCCGGTTCAAACTCGGTTAGAAAAACAGTTGTAACTTAGTTACAAAGTACAGGATCGACCCTTCTCCTGAACCATGTCTTCCTCCAAGCCCTACGTTCAGCCTGGCGAGCCTCTTCACGAATTTCTGCGCTCCTTCTGGCAGCGACAGATCGATGGTGCTGAGCAAGAGACTCCAGACTACCGACACCCACCGCTGCCGCTCGCTCGCATCAAGAAGGTCATGAAGAGCGATCCCGAAGTCAAAGTAAGCTGCCTTCTCATCGTCCGCGCCGGCGCTGGCGCGCACCATTCACACCCGAACAGATGATTGCTGCCGATGGTACGTCATGAATGTCCCCTCTCGTGAGGCGCGCCCGGAGTCCGACGTCTGTTCTTACCTGCAGCACCCATCCTCTTTTGTAAGGCCTGCGAAAGTGCGTGCATTGACTTGGGATCTTCCGTATCACGCGTACTTACGTGTGTACAATAGTCTTCATCGCTGAAATAACTGCGCGCGCATTCATCATCGCTGATTCGAATAAGCGGCGAACACTTTCGCGTGCTGACATCGCGAAGGCGCTGAGCAAGTCTGACCAGTTCGACTTCCTCATTGACATAGTACCACGCGAGGAGCCAATTGGGCCCGGCGCGCCAGGCACCCCGGCAGGACGCGCGCAAGGGAAGAAATCTGCGGCCGCACAGGCGAAGATCGACCAGGTGTGTCACTTGTTCAGATGTGGGAGTCCGCGTAGCCAAACGGGTTTCCTTCGGTTTCGCGGCCAGAAACTGCCCGCCCAAGAGTCGGAGGGTCGTGGTGACCCCGTTCAGGCAGGAGAACAGGCAGGGGAGGAGGTGCAGGGTTCCGTCGTCATGAATCAGGTACGAGCTTGGGCTTTCGTCGTTGCAGAGCCCTTACACCCTCGTCCAGTATCAGAACCTCCTGCAACCTGCTGGTCCTGTGGAGCCTCGTCCATGATCCCCCATGATTTCTATTTGTCGCTGCTCTCTGGAGAAGCTCTCGAACAGTGCTAGCGCATGTATTCCACCTCCCTCAGCTGTATATAATGTGCAATAAGTCAGACACGTCGTACTACTCACGCTCGCCCCTATAGCTCACTCATGCCACGCGTACTCCTAACACCCACTGGCATGTTTCAGTCGGAAAGCCCGCCGGCTCCATGTCATTTGGTTCACCGCTGCTCCAGTCGTACGTCACCTCCCGCACATACCGCCACAACTTCATCAGCTCGTTATCGAGCCACCGGGAAGGCTTCTCATTATCGGAATGCACCAGTAATTTTGCGAGGGGCCACCATAGCTGAGCCCGCTCCTCTGCGATGCGGGACAAACAAATGGAAGACAGCGCGCGAGCGTTCCAGATGGTGAGCGTGATTAGAGAGGGGCAGACAGTACTGCCTTCCATCGCTCGCGCGACCAGTCGGGCTCGCCGTAGGTCGCGAGCATAAGAGCGCGCACATGTCGCGTATCCAGCTGCACGAACAGTGGGAGAAGTGTATCTGGAGCGTAGAACTGCCCAGTGACGTACAGCACCCCGTCGCGCACTGTGAGAAATTGCTCAAACGTCGGCGACGCATCAGCCGTCAAGCAAAAGGTGGTCAAGCGCTGCAGCGGTCCGAGCTGCGTCAGGTCCTCGGGTAGCAACGCTACAAAAGTCTCGTCGCCACTCAAGACCTTGTAACCCCAGATATGTAGTTGGGTAAGTAGAACGACGAGGCGCGAAAGGAACGATGCAATGACCGACGCGGACGTCCAGTTTCCGATCTCAAGTACGCGAAGATCGGGGAGTGCGACGAGACGCGGAGAGGTATTTGAGTGTCCCTGGGGATCGTCTAAGGTGTCGGGGCCAGCACAGGCAGGTACGACATCTTGCAGATGAGGGGACGCTTCCAGCAGACCCAGCAGGCTGCTCATGTGCGGGCGCGCGTGTAAGACCTGGTTACAGAGGCAGAGTTCCTTGAGATTCACAAACTTGTTTCCGGACCACGACGTGAATCCCGCAAGGACGAACCGCTCGAGCTGCGGCGTCCGTCCTGCAAACAAAGGCGGCAGTATACCCTCCCCGACATCTCTCATGCCAATAATTGTGAGCGCACGCAGGCAGGGTGCAGGAAAGGAGAACTCTTTTAATAGCAAGGTGGGGTATTTAAACACCGGGTCCACGTAGAACCGTCGGAACCTGGCTCGCGAGCGCCCGCATGAACCTACCTTCCTCGAGCGTCCATATGAGACGCGACTAGTACACCTTGTCGTATAGGTGCCCGAACCGAACGGCCCAAGCACACACGCGTTGTCTCTGGGTGCGAGATGTCGATGGTTGACCACACGCGAGCGCTGTGGAGCGCCAGTATCGGCAGACCTGCTTGACGCGCAGCCAGGCGTACAGCTCCTCACTCCTGCCGGATCTTGATGCACTCACAGGGAGCCGAGTATCGGAGAGCATACCAAAGATGAGCGCGAGGGTCTCGCAAGGAAGACTGTGAATTGGGAGGAACACATTTCTAGTTGAGGCACGACATGACCGACAGAAGACGTTGCTCGAGGTCGCCCTACTACGTGTTATTAAATGTCATTCTGTAGATCAACGTAAAAAAGGAACGGTCATACTTGGCTGAGACTAAATTGCTGGCGAATGCTGGAGAACGATTCGATTAATTTTGAACTTCGGACAGATTGTTTACACACTGTCTGAAGTCGCCGTTTGGGTTCAATTTGCATTCCAAAGCATCCAACAGATGCAGAACATTTATGTCTATGATAGCAGAGTGAGCAGAAGACATGATAGTGGGAAGAGAACAGAAAGCGAGTGTGGAGTGTCTTAGACTCCTAAAAGATACGCCGCGGCGGGTGCTGAGTCCCTCGCCGCTATTGAAGCCGGAACATATTTGTAAGAACACTGTCCAAGAGCTCGAGGAGTAAAAGGTCACCATCGAACAAACAGCTCATCAAGGTACCAAGACATGGCGAGAATAAGTTTACACCACCCTCGGGGAAATCACGTGACGTTCAGCAACGTGGCTCGTCCAGTTCAGGTGAACGATTCGAACATCTCCCGCTCAGACTCGCTGCTTATTAGCTCTCCCCCGCTCTCTATGCGTCTGTAGTTCTTTGTCTCCATATATTTGAATAGAGGAATACACAACCTTCGACCGCCTCCGAAATACCCTGCAACCGTCATGTTCATACGAATATCCTCACTCGTTTCTTCCGTCCTTGCTGTGCTCCTTTATGGTGTCAATGCAGACCCAAACCCTTCATCTGGAACCTCGGGATCTGCGCTGTATCCTCCTGGGCTTACTCCACTAATTAATCGCGCAAATGCTCTCCTAACTGCTGGGCAATTCAATGATGCCGCCAAGGCATATTCGGAGGCAATAGGTGTGTAGTTGCATGTTGGATTTATCGTTGCCATACAGTGTGCTGCGGTTTGAATTCTCACCCTGTCGGACCCTGTGTCTTTGACTCGCGATTATTGAGCAATTGTGCAAGGAAGGTGGTAAGTCTGATTTTGAACCTATCCTCGTCTTTCTGCTGCGGTCTCGCTCAGACGTGGAGGGGAGCTACGCAAGGTCTTGAGTGTTGCTCTAGAGAGCGAGAATGCATGCCGAGGATCAGGATAGGTTCCTTCAGGGGTAGTCACCTTTCCGTCTACATGTCGCTCATGCTGCCATTTGTTGAGGGTATGTCCTTCGGCGGATGGCATTCGCGATGCATATATTTCCAGTTCTCGATTTTGTGTTTCAATGCTCCTGTCTCCGTCCCATTTGTTGTCCGAGCTCTTCTGTTTCTTGAGTCGCACGTTTCCCTCAGATGCGGAAACTTCGGGCAGGGTTGCCCATTTTGTTCGTCATGTTCTCACCTTTGACCGTCTTTTAACATATGGCTTTTCATGCTTAGCTTCTCGTCGGCATGATAATTTCTTGTTCTTCATTAATCTTTTACCTGGGTGTACAGGCATAAATGTACCACCCTGGAGCTATGTACCATGGGGTATTCAACTGGATCGTTGTTTGTCTGGCCTCTAGTTCAATACTTACTTTTCTTGTGCGCTCATGTGTGGTCTGCCATATCTCGTTACTTACCAATATTATTTCCAGAGCTATCTCCAGCTGATTATTTGCTATACTACAAGCGTGCAACGGCCTACTACTCGTTAAGCCGACATCCTGCTGCGCTCGCTGACTTCGACCAGGTGCTCTCTCTGACATCAAACGCATTTGACAATGCATACCTGATGAAGGCCCGCATCTACGCGAAGGATGGCAATTTTGCCCAGGCGCGCGACTCCATTAAGAAGTACACTGCGAAGGTGAAGGACACGTCTGCGCAAGAAGTCTTGTTCTCCATTAGCGAGGCGGAGCTCGCGGCGAAGAAAGCTGGACAGGCCATGCGAGCAAAATTATGGACTGCTTGTGTGGAAGCGGCTTCGACCGCGCTGCAGACAGCGTCGCATTCCATTGAGCTACGTCAGCAGCGTGCAGACTGTGCAGTCGCAGCTGGAGATATCGAAGGCGCTGTCGGTGACCTGACGTGAGCGAGTCCACTGCCATGCCGAGTGGCTCGCTGACCCCCACCGCAGACGCCTAACACACTTGACATCTCCCTCCACGCAGCTCCTGATGAAGATATTCCGTCTCTCCTACTTCCTCGGCCCGTATGCGCCTTCTAGCCAGGCGCCATCACCCGCGCTCACAACGCTGAAACAATGCCTGCACTACGATCCGGACTCTGCTGCGTGTCTCCCGGCACATCGGCTTGTCAAGGCGTTCGAGAAGAGTCTTAAGAGCCTTGAGCGGCTCCTCACTGCCGAGGACTGGCGCGGTATTGTCAGTCTTCTAGCCGGTGTCTCAGGCAAAGAGGGGTTCATGAATCAGTTCGATGCGGCGCTTGACACACACACGACGCGCGCCACGCTCGATCTCCCTGCGAAGGTTCCCGTGCCGAACGCGCGTCGAATGTCACCCCGCCGCGAGGCGCTTCTGCGTGCGCTGTGTCGCGCGTACGTAAAACTGGGCGAGGCGAGGAAGGGCGAGCGATATTGCGAGGCGCTGCTGGAGATGGATGGGCTCAAAGAAGATGCGGACGGGTTAATGTGTCGCGCGGAGGTGCTCATGATCGAGGAAGAGTGGGAGGAGGCTGTGCGCGTTCTTGAGCGCGCGTTCGAGGCGAGCGGGCGGACGAATCGTGAGGTACGTTACTGGCTTTTGTGGTCGGCCTGGTTATCTGATGTGTTCCGTCTCAGATTCACCAGAAGCTGCAGAAGGCGCAGAAACTGCTTAAGCAGTCACGGCACAAGGACTACTACAAGATCCTCGGCGTGGCGCGGGACGCTGACACGAAGACGATCAAAAAGGCTTAGTGCGTGTTTTCTTCCGTAACAGCTCATTTCACGACACTGGTTCTGATTGTCCGGTCAGTCGGAAAGCTGCAATGACGGCTCACCCTGACAAGGGCGGCAGCGAAGCCAAGATGGCTTCGGTGAATGAGGCGTACGAAGTGCTCAGCGATCCAGGTCGGTCGTTGCAACTTTTATAACTTCCGCTCTGTGCACTGATTTTATCTCCGCCGCTGCAGAGCTACGGCAACGGTTCGACAACGGCGACGACCCGAATGACCCGATGTCCCAGCAGGGCGGACATCCATTCTCAAGCGGACCCGGGGCACAGCAATTCGCACAGTTCTTCCAGCAGGGCTTCCCCAGCGGATTCCAGTTCCACTTCAGTCCACCTGGATTCCATGGCCAAGGGCACTAGCGCATCAGAGGACACTGGACAGCGATTTTTTAGAGTTTTTGTACTCCCTATTTTGTGTTTTATCGACCATGACAAGTTCGCGTTCAGTGCTTAATGTTCTCTCCGCAAATATCTGCCTGTTGTGTGTAATATTGTAGTATTCGGACTGATTGAGAATAAGCGTGCATTGTGTGTTCGGCCCTAGAGGTCGGCGAGCTATTTATTTGCGCGAGGATATATAGCAAGGGCGAGTGCACAGTACCGCGCTCCCATAAACGTTGTGGGCCCCGAAGGTAGACAGGCAGTAGAGGCGACTCGCCTGCTACATTTCTTCCAGGTGATGTGCTCTTGCCTTATCGAGAAACTATCTTGCCCCTTTCGTCATTCCAACTTGGTTTCCTTTCTCGTCAACAACGTACTACGTCATCGTTTCTCTCTTTCATCATGCACTTGGAAACGAGCCAATCAGAGCCCGAGGGCCTGACATACATAGAGTCGGACAGTCATGATCAACATGCATATAAATTGACTGCCGTACGTTGCGCGCGGACCTTTGAGTTTTCTCCTTCGCATTGTCATCTGCGGCGGCGACCGTAACTCCAAGTACTGCAGTATTTTCACAAGAAAATGCTGTTTGCGAGTTGTGTATCCAAGTTATCTGGTGCTAACGCTCAGATTTTCAGAAATCTCGAATGTCTCGGCGGCGGTTTTTGCAGAATGAACTCGGATATGATGAAGCGTCCAAGTTCTCAGCAACGCCGAGGTTTCACTGGCGTCCGGATGAGTCCCGAGGAACAAGAGGAGTTGTTCCAGTACACGTCTGGGCGTTGGCTGTACAACGAACGAGAGCGTATGTTTATCAGCTTGGTCTATTAGATGTTAACGTTCAACGTTCATCCACCACAGAACGCGCCTTGCGGTACGTCAAGTTCAACGTAGATGCGGCTCAAGAGATGGCGTGCAAGGGCTGCTCGATGCGTAAAATTCGCCGAGCTCGTTCAAGGTATGCAGCGTTGACTTTCCCGTAGCGCTTATAATTCTTATAATACTCCTCGACGATCTGCAGGACCACTCGCATACACCAAGTTTTTCTTATTACAGTTCAACAACGATTTTGAGGCTGTCCTTTGTATCCCGTGCCTTGCGGCGGGTCTTACACACCTCTCAGTCTCCAGCGAAGTAGCCACCATGCGTTTTGCTCGTGAAGAACTCGGGATTCCTGTCCCTCGAGTACTCGCATGGTCTTCGAAAGAAAATGCAACGGACAACATCCTGGGTACACCATACGTCCTCACGGAGAAAGTTCCTGGTATCGAGGCTACGCTTCGCCGGAAAGAGATGGATGATGCACTACTGACCGCTTTACCACTCATCTGCGGTTTACACGACTGTGAGGAGAAGATGGGTCGTTACCGCTTTTCTCAAATAGGCAGCTTGTGCTTCACGGAGGACGTGAGTCCCGAACTGCAATCGCGTCCTCTGTTCTCGGAAGCCTACTAAAAGCACGCGCTCCCGCAAACATTGGGCAGATATAGCATCGGCCCACTGGCCGACCGCATGTGGTGGCGCGGAAATAGAGCCACCATGGATCTAGACCGTGGTCCCTGTGAGCCCTTCTTGCGTATTGACCAGGTTCATGTTTTGACATGAATGATTCAGGGCCTGACATGGCCGCATTCATGCAGGCTTCTGCGCGGAACGAGCAAGCGTGGATCCGCCAACATGCCTCACCCGACGATCGGCGATTCTGCAGCATTCTCCAGTCGCGTGATCCTGCGGAGCACCTGCGGGCATTAGACATGTACGCTGAGGCTGCGCCCTTCATCGTCCCTGGGCCCCAGCTCTGCGAGCCTACGCTGTGGTGTTCTGACAGCTCCCTGTCGAACATCAGGGTCGCACCTTTTGGCACGCTACAGATCACCGGTGTTCCTGACTGGCAGGGCGCTTACGCGGCTCCGTTCTGCGTGCAGGAAAAATTCCCCGACGGCTTCAGATGCACGAAAGGCACGATCGAGATGCCGACCCACCCGAACCCTCCACAGATTCCCAGTGATTTTGAGTCGCTCGACGAGCATCGAAAGAATGTCCTCTCGATGCAGCGCGCACTCGCGAATCTCAAAGAACACTACTGGAGTTTCCACGTGGATAACTATCTGTGGTTAGCGCAGGCCATCCCCCACCTTGAGCCGTTGAATACGCTTCATCTTGCTGGTCAACGATGCTGGAGCGATTCCTACATGAAGCTCGTACTTGCGCTTTTGGATATTCGGAATGGCTGGAACAAAATTGCGCCGCGGACACCGTGCCCGATCACTTTCTCGGAAGACGAAGAGCGCGAGTTCAACGCCGTCATGGACAGTGTGCGTGTGTATTGGAATACTCTCAAGGAGCTCGACGACGCCCTCCGCGCTTCTCCCGAGGGGTGGGTCTCGAATGAGGATTATCCTAGGGCGAAGCGCTTGTTGGAGGAGGCCAAGTGGCAGTGGGACGAGAACGAGATGGGTGGATGGTTTCCGTACCAGGACGGGATGCACTCTTTCTCCTTGTGTTGACTCTGGAGTTAGCATTTTGGTCGACGAGCTTTCCTTCCCTGTTTTTTGTTGATGGACCTACATCGTCATAGGCCGTGTACGAGTGATGGATTCGTTATTTTTTTGTTTTTTTGTAACTCAGACTGTATCGTATGTCAGCGCTTCAGCATGGCATTATAATTTAGCTTTGGACATGAAGTACTCCTGTCTTACCTTATCGAATTCTCCTTCCCTTTTTGTCAGGCCGCCGCAGTGGTTTCCTTTCCCTTCTAACCTCCATCAGATGTGTCGCCGAGTCGTCCATGGTGAACCTTCATTTAAAGGTCATCCCACATCCTTCTACTGCCTCACCCACATTAATTCACTTCTCTCTCCAGCGTTATCACTAGTCTGTCCCCACCAGAACTTTTCTGGACAACTCTCAGCAACTAACATATGTTTGGAAAAATGCAGGTCGCAGGTAGCATATATGCAAGTCTACCGCTGCTACTACTAGTACTCACCTTAGTGTACGTCTCAAATGTCCGAGTCGTGCTGAGATTTTTTTGCGGAATGAACTCCAAGTTGGACTCCAGGCATTCAAATTATCAGCGACGTTGAGGATTCTGCATCTGGATGGCTTCGAGGCTCTCCTTCATATTCTGTGCCCTGCGGCGGACCTTACACACCTTTCAGTCTCCAGTGAAATGGCCACCATGAATTTTGCTCGTGAAGAACTCGGGATCCCTGTTCGCCGAGTTCTTGCATGGTCATCCAATTGGACCGCTAATAATATCTTGGGTACACCATACATCCTTCAAGGCTTACCGAGAATGTCTCTAGCGTCGAGGCTAAGCATCACTGGGAAGAACCTGGCAGACATCAGGACGCACCTCAAGCGCGAAGATGCAAAGAGCGAGTACGCGTATCCAATATTGTGCTCGACCTAGCGCTCAGCAGTAGGAGATGACGGTAATCCAGAAGAGCGGTACATCTGCGTTTCATATATCGCTCCGAGGCGGGTTGTGTTCAGGATGAGCGCCAACTTAACGTGCGACTACACTAGCCAGGTCGACGTCTACCAAACCCACCATGGGGCTCCCTCTGCGGGAAGAAGCGGCGGAAGCTCGAGAAGGGGGCATATCTGTGTCACTGTTGATATGCGCGGCCGTGACGGACAGCTGTTAAAGATAAAGGACAGCATGTAGCGCATTGGGAGGTTTTATCATAGTATCATCGGAACGAAAGCGCTGAGGCCTTCTTTGTTACTGTCAGTCTTGATCGGTCCAATAGATATGCGAGTTTGGTCCGTGCCTTCGCCCAATGGACGGTGCGGCATCTGAGCGTCAAGTCGATCGATGTATCATCGATGTGATCTATTGACTTGTTGGAACGGCCTCTGCAGGTATAGGACAAGGGGAACACCCGACGCAGACGGGTATTGCAAGCTGGGGAAGCAACGATTGCACTGACGGCGGGAAGGACGCGGCGGGACTTGGAGCACTTGGCACTTGGCCGGTGATGGGCGGCTCTGGATCGTCCCGCGCGGGATGCGCGACGGCCGCTGCGAGGTTCACACTGACGAGGACGAACTCCGTTGGCGGAAGACGCGCGGAGGAAGAGGGCGTGCGTTACGACCTGTGTAGATGGGTTTGCTGTCCGAGATGCGGTGTGGAGAGATTGGGACCTGCCCATTCGGTGGCGGCGCTGCGTCGTCCCAGGGATCGGGTGGGCGTGCCCCGGCGCAAGTCTAGGTTCTGATAACCAGCGAGATTCGACAACCGACAAGGGGACATTACAATCGAACTGGCACACGTCTTCCGCACCAGGCGGGTACGCGAAACCTCAACAGCAACTTTGTGCTCCTCCATGCGATATGCAGATCCTGCGAGGACGCACGTCAGCTCGCGATCAGACGCCGTTAGCGTTGGACGTGGACGTATAGGGACATGACGCGGACGCGTGAACGAGCGGGAGACCCTGTATTCTATCGCGATAGGAATGCACACTGAGCGGTGCAGTACGCATACCTATCACGACAGAATATTCAGTCTCTCGATGATCGATGCAACAGAGACGGTGAGGATTACTTGGCGCCCATCTACCACGCGCGATCACGTGCATAAGCTTGATTGACGCCAGCGCTGAGACTTGGCGCTTGACCTCCAACGTCGACGCAGATCCGGTCCTCGAGAACACCAGCAACGACGACGACGAGCATACACCCACCGACTCTGTCCGGTCCTTCGGTCGTACCACCCCCAACGGCGAGCGCACCCCCAACGACGGCGAGCCCACCGCGCACGACCTCCCCAATGTCCTCCAGCGCCGCCCTCCCGCTCCCCTCCGCGGGCGCGGCGCCCTCCCCGCCCATCATCGACATCCTCCGCCTCGCCGCGCACGCCGCCTCCTCCCTCCTCTCCTTCCTCCTCGCGCTCCTCGCGCACCTCCTCACCCCCGCGCTCTACGTCCTCGCGCCCGCGCTCCTCTTCCTCCGCGTCCTCCTCGACGCGCTCGTCCTCGCGCCCCTCGCGCTCGCGCGCGCGGTGCTAAGGGAGGCGTACCCGCTGTATGTGTTTGGGGGCGCGGCGTGCCTGGGCGCGGTCTGCGTGGGGTACGCGGCGCGGGCGGTGGCGGGCTGGGTGCTCGCGGCGAGCGCGCCCGGTGCTGGTGTGGATGCTGCGGATGCTGCGCCGCGGGCGGGGGGGAAGCGGCGGAAGAGGGTGTCGATCAGGGAGGAGGGGCGGGCGTAGCTGCGGCCGTTCTCGAGTTCTCGTGTTTGCAGTGTTCTGTTTGTCTGGGTCTGCAGGTGAGCGCGGGTGTTGTTGATGGCTGCGCGGTCGGGTTCTGAAGGTTTTGTCTGTGCCTAGCGACGTCGACTTGCAAGGGTCCCCCCCCCTAGGGATCCGTCGTCGTCCGTTTTACGTTCTTGGGTCCGCTGCGTGCCGTCTTGCCGTCTTGCCCGCTTTCCCCACGTTCCTGCATCGTCCTCGCACTCGCGTACAACCACGCACGCCTCCCCGTCTTCGTGCACCTATCCGTATCCTCACGGGCTACACACACCATACACATTGTCCCCACCCTCGTCTCGTCCCAACTCAAATTCCGCATCGGCCGTTCGAAGCCTGCTCGGGGTGAGTCCCCCCCCCCCCCCCCGCACGCGCGGGTCGCGGTCTGTGCTGAAGGGCCCGAGTTTTCTAGCGCTGCGACCTGGTGCTTTGTCATGCTCTGCGCGGACCCGCCGCTCCCCATTAGTCCGTGCTTGCCGTCTTGGCCGTCTCCTTCAAGTTCGAGCAATGTTCCTCGTCTTGCCGCCTCGCACCCCTTTCTTGGTCCTCGCAGAAGCTGCGCTAAAAGGCGCATATAGTCACGTACGCGTTCCCGTGGCGTCCTCGTGCGGCTGATGATGTATGATGTATCCCGGTACGGTACACGGGCGCCTTCTCCCGAATTGAATCCTTGAATTCGCATGGATAGAGAGCGAAGGTTCTGGACGAGGGGGGCTGTCTTGCCTGTCACAGTATGTGCACCCACCGGTTTTCACCTTGTGGCACGCCAAGAACGGGTCGGAGGATGGAGTGTAATCTATTAATCGATACAGAGCACGAGCAGCCAAACCAACGTGCTGCTCGGTTACACGGTAATTAACACAATCGGAGCGCAGGATTAGCTATAGCGAGTGGGAAGCCAAGACATAGGGTAAGCATATATTCGCTCAGAGATCGGCCCCGTCGGCGACGACGATGCGGGGCACGTCGATGTCGGAGAGCCATTCTGCGGTGCGGGACTTGCGGTCCGCCGGGGCGGGGGGGAACTCGGGGGCAGTGGGGGTGCGCAGCTCGACGGAGGCGTCGCTCGTCGTCGGGCTGTCCGGGGGGACGAGCGACTCGGGCGGGGACGCGCCCACCTCCAGCTCCACCACCTCTCCCTCCTCCTCCTCCTCCCTCTCCCTCTCCCTCTCCTCCAGCAGGCCGAGCTCGGCCTGCGCGGCAGTGACGATCTCGAGCGCGTCCGCCTGCGCGATCTCGCGCGCGACCTCGAGCTTGGCACGGCGCCTCTGGAGCGCGCGCATCGCGGCGCGGATGGCGCGCGACGTCTGGACGACGCGCGTGAGGGACAGCTGGTGGTAGGGCGCCCAGCCGTTGGGGAGGCGCTCCTCGTGCATCCACGTGCGCAGCATCTCCACCGGGACGCCGGGGAGCGGCAGCGGGGCCGGCTCCGCGTCTTTGGTGCGCTTGAGCGCGGCGAGGAGCGAGCGCGGCGGGGGGGCGGGCGCGGGCGACGGCGCGGGCGGGGGGTTGTTGAAGAGGAGGAGGACGATCGCCATCTCGCCCCGGGCGATCTCGGCGTGGAGCGCGTCCATGGGGCGCGCGTAGCTCGCCTCGCGGGCGACGCGCGCGCGGGCGACGTCGGCGGGGGTCATGAGCGCGCCGTCGGCGGCGTGGGCGAGGAAGGCGTCGAGCATGTGCGGGGCGGGGTGCAGCGGGGCGTACTCGTCGCGGTGGGCGACGTCGGGGTGGACGAGGGACGCGTCGTGCTCGATGCAGTTGTGGCGCGCGAGGTCGGCGAGGCAGATGTGCGCGCGGCGCTGGCCGAGGAGGAAGAACCCGCCGCGGGTGAGCACCCACGCGAGCGGCGCGGAGAGGCGGTAGCCCGCGCGCAGGGCGTGCGTGAGCGCGGCGGGCGTGACGCACTTGCCGTCGCGCGGGAGGTAGCCGTGGTTCGCGAGCGCGTTGAGCGCCGGGCACGGCGAGCGGCTGTCGCCCTTTTGCGGCGGGCAGTAGGCGTGCGTGCCGTGGCCCGTGATCGGGCAGTGGTGCGCGTGCGCGTGCTCGGGGACGGAGACGGAGACGGGGACGGACATGGTGGTGAGGGGACACGCGTGGGTGGGCTGAGCGGCGGGCAGCTGGGGAAGGGATGGGTGATAGGATTTTTATGGCTGACCCACCTACGAGGGCTTCCATACCAGCGGCTGTACGACGAACGCTAGCACGCCTTCCGTGCGCGGCCATCGCCCCCTCCCGATCCGATTAGTGAACGGCATGAGAAGATGCGAGTCCTCGGAGTGCGCGTGCCTCCTGCAGACAATTGCCTCCTGCGATTCGCACACGTGATGTTGACAGCAGCCAGAACGAGGCTGGAGGCGCTGTTGATTCTTCGAAGAAGAGCTCGGAGGTCGGCGCGGGCTTTGAACGCAAAGCTACAGACGCCCGGAGGATGGCGATGTCCGCGAAGAAATCCCGACGCCGTCGGTCCTGAGCGCAGAGCGTCGAACGGCTCTTCGACGTTGCGCATGGGCCGCTTGTCAATGTCAAACCTCGGAGTATCACCTTCCTGTCTGACCTATCATTTCCGCCGTGGCCAGATTGCTTGTGGGAAGGACCTTTCTGTACTCTGTCAGTATCGCTCCACATCATCATCGGAGCACATCAAGCCGACGTCCGTTATGAACTCACCGTCCAGACTCCTCCGAGAATCTCACCTCCAATCCCAACCCAGCACTAGCACTTGTCCTGGCACCTGCCTGTAGACGTTCCCAGGATCTCAGTGGAACCGGTCGCTTTAAAACTCGGTATCGCATACGATCAGCACACGCATCTCCTCCCCTGCAGCTGGCTGTCCGGCGCAGGCACGCTGGCGATCCCCAAGCTGCGGGGAACCAGCCATATCACGTCCAGGAACCTCACCCCCAAATACCCATCTAGCACTGCTAGAGTTCCCTCCCGGATGTTCGTGTTCGCAGTTAATCCCAGTGGAACTGGAATCGCATATGGTCTGTATATGCATGTTCACCTCTCGGTTCCCGCCGGCGATCCCCAAATCGCTACGAGACTGCTGCGCCGCGTCCAACAATATTGACCTACCGCTGACTGCCAGTTCCCTCCCGGACCCGGATGTTCTCGGAACCTCAGCGGAACCGGTACTTCAAAACGCTCGGAATCGCATATATATATGGTCGTATTTTTCACCTGTCGGGTGCCCTGAGATTGCAGGTCCCTCCGCAGGCGCGCTGGCGATATCACAGAACGCCTCCGAGTACCAGGCCGGCGGGCGGCACTCCGGCGTTTGGGAGCGCGACGCGTCCATCATGTGACCCGCCCTCCCGATCGCGAATACTAGGCATTTCGATCGTGACCCCGAACGCGACAACAACGCGATCTCGATCGCGCGCAAGTCTCCTGGTGTGGGCCAGCCCCACGTTACTTCGAAGAGTCTGTAGCACACTGCCCTCGGTGGAACTGGTGGCCTGCTCGGAATCGCATATGGTCAGCGAATGCATTTTTTTGCTGTAGGCTGGCGGGGGGTGCCCCGAGCTTTGGTCCGTTGCTGCGGGTGTGCTGGCGATCCCCAAGCGGCGAGATATCACTGCGGTATAGCGTTTTGCGAAGGGACTCCTCAGCTCTGAGTGGTGGAGGTCTGGTCCGGGACAGTTTTTTTTTTTTGGGGAGGGGGGGGCTTTTGGGCCTGGACACGGCTTTGCGATCCTCCCCGTTTTGGCCGGTTTGGCGCGTATGAAGAAGATGAATGCCTTCTCAGTTCTCCGCCAATCGGGCTTCGTGCCGCTTTTTTGCATGTTTGAGGGCTGTTTGAACGTGTTTTTTTGGGACGCTCGACTGCGTCTGCGGCCCACTTCATGCGCATCTGTGGTGGGCCTGACCCCGTTCAGTGGTCCGGACATGTCATTATGGAAGGTGTTTGCTCTCAGGACAACAACCCCCCCCCTCCTAATTGGTCCGGATTAGCTTTTGTGACGATTATCGGGGGTGTGTAACATGTGCATGTGACCCGCCCAGCCGATCACCAAACGCGGAGTGATCGTGAACTTGGACGCGAACGCCAGATCTCGATTGCGCGCAGCCCTTGTTATATCGTTGGACAAGACACTTTCTGCCCTCGACTCGCCGGACGGTATACTGGTATTCCTTTCCTCCCCGCCTTTGTCACCACGCTGGGCAGATTCTGCCAGTAGCGATTTCGCGCTGAATCGGGGGTGGCGCAAACGCCCAACGTCCGTTCTCGCCCTGTTATCCTCGGTCTGCGCAGCGCGTTGGGCCGTTCTCGAGCTGTTGCGTCCACTACTGGGCTTATATGTGAACCTTGAACGCCTATTCGACTCGGGCTGGCCATAGTCGTGACGCAAGCTGACTGCAGCATCTTGTCGTTGCGCAGTCAAGAGGCAGACTTGCTGATGCGCCAGTGCGTCTCGATCTCCGTACCCGTTCCCCCCGTTTACGAAAAGTCTGCTGTGGTATTCGTCGTGTGGACACCAGAACACCAGGCCTGCCTGCGGCTCGACGCCGTACCCGACAGTTGAACAGTCTTACAGCCTCATCGCGCTCTTCGCCGGGCTCGCACCCCTTGGTTCTCCCAGACGTCCGGAATCTCAGCTCCGCAGGTCGCCCAGGGGCGGAGGCAGTCCTACCCCACCCAGCACGCCGAACCCAGGCCCGCCTCTCGTGTCCACGAAGTGGAACCTTGGCATCATCCTCAGCCGGCTCTGCGAGCTGCCCCGGCCTGCGCTGGCGGCGACAGAGTGCCCCGGGTCGGTATCTTCCATCTTCCATCTTCTATCCTCTATCTTCTGCCTTCTGCCTTCTGCCTGCGAGATCGATTCGAGTTTCACGCTGACGCCGCTCCATCATGAAGGATCCGCCGCCGGAATTCGCCGGTGGGACATTCTGCGGGGTCCGATGGTCCTACACCGTGACGCCCCCACGAGCGCGCAGGTGGGGAAGTGGGGAAGTCAAGAAGGCCTCGGCACGAAGTCCGACTCGCCCTCGCAGCCGCACCAACCCCTTCCTCTGAGCTTTGCCCAGCCTGAGAATGCTCAAAGCGCCCGCCCGCTATTCCAATACCGTGCGTCTAGCCCTGGGTTCGTCGCAGCTTGCTCCCTTCCAAGTTGTCCTCCATCTTGCTTTTCTTTTTACTGCGCCCTCCTTGGCCCCAGAATCTCATTTCGACTACGCAGACTCCGTCGCGTCGTCTCGATCTCCACAATCTCACCGATCTACGACGAAACTGTCAGCCGCATACCCAGCGTCAAGTCGACAATTTGACGAGCTCATTCTTCAGTCTGCCTGCGCTCGCGATGATCGCAGCACCATTGCAAGTCGGTATCTCCCATCTTCCATCTTGCGTCTTCGAGATCGATTTGTATTTTTCGCTGACGCCGCTCCATTATGAAGGAACAGACGCCAAGTTGAAGAAGGCAGCACAAAGTCCGACCGGCCCTCGCAGTCGCACGCTCGCCTTGACCCAGGGCGCACGAACAGCAGAGCATGCTCAGGTGTCCGCCCCCCCATTTTGATACGTCCAATGCGGGCTCTCCTCGTCCGCTCCACGCTCTCTTCCATCTTAACTTTATTTGGGACTGAGTCGTACTGGTGCGCGACCCCCCCCCCCGCCCTTAGCGGAGTTTTACTCGATGCCGTGCTAGAGTTCCTAGTCCCTCCAATGGAGATGTTCAGGGTGTATGCTCTATCGCCCTTTGGGCGCCAGGTTTCGAACTCCTGGTGGAAGCCGTATTGCTCCAACAGCCTCTAAGGGCCGGAGTCTGTGACTGGAAGGTACGACGTCACGCTGCGGGTTGTATCTGCGAAGCGCTTTCTGTGGCTGACTCGCTGGAACATGGGATAGATATATAGATAGGTGACAGCCTTTGAGTCGTTGTTGTTACCACCGGTCATATTCAAATTCTGCGGTTTCGACCTACAATGAAGGTGGGGACGCCTGCCCCGAACTCTTGATGCGCACTCTGTTGTTAATCCTGCTGTTTTGGACGTACGCGCACGTCAATCGCACTGCTCGTTCTTCTTAGCCTCGTACCCCTCAACTGACGCTTGTGGCAGGAGCCCTATAGGTGCGCGCGGTGTCCTTCGTTCGACCAGAAACCAGATCCTCAATTCGGCTTCTCAGATCCAGGTTATCGGCACCCGTTCGAGAATGAAGATGAATCCTGCACGCTGGGCCGTCGTGGGATCAGGACACAATACGCTAGTATCCTTCGTGCTCCTTCATGGTCAACAAGCCAACTGGGCCTCATCTATACACGGGTCACAGGCTAAGTACAATCAGGACGAAGAAAGCATTCAGAGTGGACTTCCTCCGCAGTTGATCAGGTGTCCAGGAATCTCTAATTTGCTATGAGTAGAGGACTGATGTTATCGTCGGTTGTCTACCCATAAAACTGATGAGTAAGCGCTGAATACTGGTAACGCACTTCGTGTAGTTTACCTTCCCAAGGCCGTGCACTGAAGCACACCGGCAGAAGCAAATGTTATCTAATAGGAACGGTCCGTATGTACTACGTCGCAGTGCAGAGTAGTACTTCCAACTTCCATATATCAACCCCAAGCGCCAAGCGATCAGGAGATGCGTCTGTCGCCGTACGCCGTGGTGACATTATTCCCGGCAGTAATCATAGTAGAAGTGCAATCGAGACGATGACTTACGAAGGAGAGGGCGAGTAACTTAAAACCAATCGATTCTCCTTGAATGATTTGCCAAATGCCTTATAGCGAAGAGCAATTACACACAAGACCTGAACTCGACGTTAACGAACTCGACAGAACATATCAACATCAACAAATCAAAAGCGAGGAGAACTAGTCTTGCATTACACCATCCTCGTTGAACTTCCCAAACGGGTCAGGAACTGTCTCGAACACAGGCTCCGACACCCCATGTCGCTGCAGCCAGCGCTTGATCTTCAAATCATCGTCATTTTCAACAAACCGAATGCAATCACGGAAACGCTCCGCTCGGTCTTCTCGCTGGTGAGTAGTAATCAAAGTCCCGACAACGATGGGCTCTGCAGAGTCCTTCTGAGGCAACGCCACAGGGACTGCAGTACAGGATCTGATGCCCCTGGAGAGCAGGTGGCTGTTCAGGATGTATGCTTCGCCATTAGGGATGTCGAGACCACGCCTGGCACCGAAGGTGGACAGCTGTTCGTGGGTCAAGAAGTAGCCGCCGATGACGAAGATCATAACGCTATACATAATTCTTCATGAGTATGACTGCTGGCAATGAGCTTTGCTTGCTTTACCTATTCAATACGAGGAGCGTAGGTGCAGAGGCGAAGTATTGAAGAGATTTGGACTAATTGACTCTACGAGCGATTCTGGGTTTAGAATTTCCACAAATGAACGTCGGGTCGTACCTGGGGAGTAATACCAGTGAAGGATGGAAGGACGGCATTAGGCGGAGGCCCTCGGGCTGCCTGATGCAAGTCCTTACGTACAGGTTCAACCTGCAAATTTGAGTACTCACCGTTGGGTTCTCAGTCTGACATGCACCTATGTCGTTCCACTGGCAGTAGAGCATCTTGACTGACAAATGTATTCTCTAGTATGAGATAGTGCATGACTCTGCTATACTCGTATACATAATATTATTTAAATTCAACATGAATAATGAAACAAAGATGGGCCGGGTCCCGGTGGCCGGATGTGGCCGGATGGACAATGCTAGGAGGACAGGGACAGATGGATGTACCTGAAATGCAGTGCCTCTGGAAAGCGACCATTGTATCTATGCCAGTCATTACGACAATGTCGGCACTGGTTCATTTGTCAGAGCGATGCCCCACTGCAACACGAAAATAAGTCGGGCAACAGTGCGGCGCGGACGTCGGTGCGGGTGGCGAGCAGGGGTGTCTGATCGCGGGCTTCGAGAGAGTCCAGACGATAGGCAAGCATAGAAGGGTCTACCACACCAACTTGGGTGGTAACGTACGCCGGATAGGAGCTCCATGGAGGGGCTCGAATTGAGATTCGCCCTCGCTCCACCCCGATGGTGAAAATCCAGACGTCAGCGCACACGCCCTGCGCAGACTTCAGAGGAAGGAGGGGTTCGGTGTTCGCGGTGTAATGAACCGACGAGAGTGCTAATTGAGTGTCTTGGCCTCCTCCTCCCGGTCCTCCGGCTACACGCAGACGATCAATGATTGTGCACCCCGATGCGCCTGTGCGGAGATCGATGGGGATGGCCCAATGTGCAGTGAGTGCGGGGGTAGTGAAGAAGTCCCGAGGTACTGCCACGACAGCGTGCGTATGAAGCGGAAGTAATCCGGGTATTCAGACATTCCGAGAACTACCAGACACCAGCAACATGGCAGCGAGCCTCTGTGTTGGTTCTGTAATGGTTGTGGAGTGCGAGAGTCCGAAGAAGTCTGTTGGAACTTAAAGCAATGAGCTTCAGGAATCACTGGGGACATAGCGGACATAAGATATGTCATCAGCAGGATGCGAATTGAATCAGATGCCATTCTCCTGGTGGAGAGTCGTGGAGACCATGTAGCACGCAGAGTCAAGCCGCGATTGGCCTACAATTCCATTGCGTCTTCACAGAACGTCGATCCTTTCGCCGGGCACCCATGCCCAACACATGGAAGCGAGACGTGTCCGCGTGTCTGCGGCGGCGCACGCGCGGACATAATGAAGATAGGCCTTATAGCATAATAGCGTTTAGGGGAGCGGATTGTATGCAACCATGCGCACCCGACTCAACAGCATGTGCAGCGGATGACGGCTGATCATCGTGTGGAGAGCAAGCAGCTCACGCCAAAGGCACGGTGTGGGCTAGAGATGTTGTCAGGCACGAATAGCGGGACAGATAGGGCGGCTGGAAGAGCTCCCAGAATATAGCTGTAGTACCCTGCAGGAAATTAATTAAAATTGATTCGAAAGGAGAATAGAATAGAATACTAGCACCGAACGGCATAGGATGCAGTGAATTCGAGTTGGTCAATGTAAATTTGAGCTGTCAACTCAGTACGTCATTCGCGCAGGACCAGAACACTTGACATGGTGACACGTTGCGCGTCGACGTATGATGAAGGCTAGATTGAACGCGTTGCGTGACGAGGGATCAGGCGTGGTGGACGTGGGAGACGCTAGTCGAGGGTGCAGCATTTATAGAACGCGACGAGAGACACCTGGCAAAGTCAAGCCTCAGGCTTCATAACGCAGGGAATGGTTGAGGGAGAGGACGAGCAGAGTGGGCGGGAGCAGCGCGCGGGTGAAGAGGCCGCAGTTCCGCGCGAAGATGGAGCCAGTCACGGTCGCGACCCCGACGTAGAGTACTATGACGGTCTGGCATAGTATGCCTGGCGTGACTGGCTCGTCCGGAGCGACGAGCGACTTTACCCGCTCTGCGAACAAGTGAAGGCGGAAGTGAAAACCAAGATGGGGCACTCGTCAGCGCTGAAGTAAACGATTTGGATGCGAGATGGTGCACTTTCGACCGCTTCTTCCACACCGATCGTTCGGGAAAGGACACCTGGGCGTGTGCCTCGAGGTAGCAAGGGGTGACTGCACGGCGAGCATTGCCTATGGTGTATCAACGAGGACAATATCTGGGGTCAGTGCAGAATATATCGGAAGCTTCGGATGCCCAACAGCTGGTGAGCGTGTGCGCTTACGCCGAGAGCAGCGTCGGCGTATGCCGCATCGTTTCTTGCGAACACGTGCACATCGAATCGATAATTCCACCGAAGAAAAGAACAAGTGTAACAAACAAATAAATTTACTAGAAATACAGTTATCTCGGTAGCTACATTTTCGTCTGAAAAGGGTGTAAAGAGACCAGCTATAAAGGAGGGCGGTGTGCATCTCCACACGAAATACATCTGCTTGAACAGGGTCCAGAGCAACAAGGTACAGCTCTGGAGGTGATTCGTCCCGCACCACCTTGTGCTATAAAATGAACGATTAAGACAAAAATGTCAGTGTTCACCGAAGGACGATCAACGTACCAAAACGAAGTCCCCGACAAGCTTCCACGATTGGTTGGCGAGCTGTTCGCGCCTGACCGCCGGCAAACCTTTGACGATCAGGTTTACCGGTTTTTCGACCTGGAGCTGACGCGCTCCGCTCCAGCTTGAGCTATAAAATGAACTATTAAGACATAAATGTCAGTGTTCAATGAATGAGGCACACGGAGAAACGAACACACTTCGTAAGATAACGCGTGCGGAAACGTACGCATAGGGAACATTGGGGTCGAGGTATAGCGGTTGGCATTTGTTGGGTGGCAGAAGCGGGGGATTGAGAGACAGGACTCGCTAGGTGTCCTCTTTTATAGAGGGACGGCAACGGCGCTTACCAATGTACAAACAATGCATGGATCCAAACAATGACAAAAGTGTGACCGCCACTTGTTTCGGTACCCAAGGAAACGGCGACGATGACGTGTTTTCGGCTTATTGCTTATTGTTCGCGGCTTTGAGGTCCTCCGACGCTTCAATATTGAACGCGAATAAATCTGTAGCTCGTAAGTGTTGCAGGTAGTCGACAAGTATACTTTATCAAACAACATCTCCATGTGCCTGCCGACCACACCGGCCACACTCCCAGGAAATGATGTGTCGACACATTTTCCGAATGAAGTGTTCAGGAGCTCCATAAGCTTCTAGCGGAAGATCGGTCAGCAATTCGGGACATGTCACGAAGACCTTACTGTGGGACGCGCATCCCATCTGGTCCTGTGGAGTACTTCGCGGCCATTAGTGGACAAAGTCGAATTTTCCCCTGCACCGCTCATGAACTCCGGGCCCTCTTAGGACGAGCGAGTAATAATTGCAACGTAATACGTGGCACAGGTCAGCGCGCCCGTTCAGAGAAAATGTTCATGCACTCTTCGTCTATGAAAAACGCAGTGCCAACATCTACGTAGTGATCATCAGCGCGAGCGCAGAACAAACTGAGTGAAAAATGGATCTTACCGTCCAGGAAAGTGAGAGAGAGATTGCGCGCCAGACCGTGCAGATGATGTTAGAATGACGACCCTGTCGAGTCCGTCGGGCGTTAGACATGCAACCATGAGGGCCATTTGGAGACGAGAACGACTTACTGTGATCACCAAAAGCGCTACATCGAAATGCAATGGCAACAACACTGATTCATTCACTAAATGCTTCCCACTCAGGCGCGTCTCCTGCGGCCAGTTCTGGCAAACCGACGCTGACGAGATGATTCCTACTAGTACAGGTATACCCATGCTGAGTAACCGTGTCAGTTGTAACGCCTAAGCACAAGCACAAGGTGATATATTCGTAAATACCCAAGTGGCCTCCCCGTATTGAGAAGCTTGCTGCACAAGGGAAGACCTGTGAAGTCGCGCTACTAGTAGGACCCCTGATATGAGCCATGTTCAGATGTGCGAGAAATAGAGGACTACCGGTCAAATACGGATATCCTGAGTCACGAAGGTTGAAGCAGAGTAGCTACAACTGCCTCTAGACTGCCGCCACCTATGTCCAGCACAAGTCCAGGACCATTATGGAAAGACCTCCCGAATTTTGTTCTGGAGCACATTCAGTGACAACTCCTCGATGACCACGTTGACTGGTGTCGAAGTCTGGACAGAGCGCACACTGGAAAAGACAACAACAGTGGCAAGCAAGGTGAAGCTTCTAGTGATCCCTTCCGTACTCCAAATCAGCGAACTCATGAACTTTGCCAGTGGCCGATTTCAAATGTGACGCAAGTATGCGATACAGTAGCATTTAATACAGAGGCTATATGCGACACAGTAGTATTTAATACAGAGGCTATATGCGACACAGTAGTATTTAATACAGAGACTATATGCAATACAGTAGCATTTACTAATACTGAGGCTATATATGTGATACAGTAGCATTTAATACAAAGGCTACACACGATAGTACAGCACATCGGAGGCCTAGGTAAGGAAAGATCAAGCGGAGGAAAATCGGGAGAAAGGATAGATCATCCGACCAGCTATCTCAAGCTATATCGCGTGACACGGTTTGCGAACCGGTAGGTATACTTGTTATTCAGTGCCTTCAATCACTGCTGGAGTGCGCTTGCTTGATGGTATTGGGTCGATTTCGTTGCTCTCCGAGTCGGGTGGCTTACCCAGTTCAAATGGGAAAGTGCCTTGTCACCCTGTGGCCACCCATTCACTGAGGCTTTGTATGTGAGGAGTTCCGTCTTGTCGTCGTGCCTAACCGCTTTAGAGACCAGTGACCTCAAAGTTTCAAGAAGATGCGTTAGAGGCGCATTCCCTGGCACCGTCAGCGGCTCCTCGAGAAAATCTGTCTTGTGAAATCGACAGGAAGTATTACCACCGCCTTCAAAGACCGGGGAACAAGATGTCAATTGAATGATTTGGTTCGTAGACTGGTTACCATCTAATGTAGATATTTTCTCTGTCAAATTTGACTCACCAAAACATTGCAGGGAATAGGGCGTACCTTGTGCGCGACCGCGGAACTGGTAGCAAGCTGACTTTGAATGGGAGTGTGAGCGAGTCACCACGGCCCACCACTTCGCCTCCCTGCGGTCCCACTACGATAGAATGCCACAGGTAAACTCAAACCCTGGGCCATATCCTCAAGTCGTCCTGGTATGGTGTGGCTGCAGGCGAAGATTCGACGTCGCAGACGTCACCGGTCAAAACGGAAGCATCAACGGCAGACACTCCAGCACCGTGTCAGGGGAGATAGACCTTCAATGAGTGTGAGGACTCACATATCCTGTGCATAGGACTAACGTGTGCGGCTCGCGGTGTGCGATGCGTTGGAGGGCGTATTCCATAACAGAGAGGGCATATGGCCCTGTGTCGAGTTGCGACTGAATCATGTCGAGGTTGTATGTGTGTATGAGGAGTGGATGGTCTGATGAAAGAGGGAAGAGAGAAGGTTCTTATATACCTGGCTGGCCGTGGCCGTGGCAACGGCACACAAAGAGTAATAACGGCTTGGTAACGGTGGCACCATCGCCACCGGGCCAAAATCTTATGGAACAATGGATTAAAGCACTGACCACAAAGCTGTTCCTCAGAAAGGATATCGGCTCGATCATGTATTGTTGCTTGTGGCGCCTGCATTCGACGGTAGGGCGGTCAGCAACAAAGAAAGACACAGATTGCCGAAGAGTAGAAATGTTTGCGCAGACTGACCTCGTCTTCTGAGTTCCGCTGTGGCATTACTGCCTTCCACGTTCCTTGAACACTGAGCACCAACGTGTCTCTTCCGATGCGCACAATATCTACAGCAGGCGTTTCGACAGGAGACTGCTGGCCCGATGAGGACTACGAGTCGCCCACATTTTATGATCCCAATCACTCGGACTCGCCCAAGGCACGATGGAATGGAGTGAATGCGTCTTGAGCGACAACTTACAATGCTTTGGGTGGACCTCGCAAGGAACCCCTGCGCGCAACGGCATAGACGTCTCAGACACAAGAAACAAGAACGACGCCTGAGCACTCGCCACTCAGGCGTCGGAAGCCTCCAGTGAGAACGAGACGCACAAAATGAAGCACTGGGGGGCATGATGGAATCTGCCACGTACCCGATGCTGCTCTTCTACCTCCGCCATATTCAATATAAATCATGCTCGTATCGAACGTCTGACCAAGGGGTAATCATCTTGAGATCTAGAAGACGTAGCTTTAGCATCGCTAAGCTCAACAGAGATAGCCGAAACTGAAGCTCGTAACCTGATTGTTGAACGAAACAGCACTGCGCGGGCCGGTGTCAACATTTACGTCTTGCCCCGCCGAACATCTGGAATTACAAGAGAGCCATATCAAGGCACGAGACAAGGACCGGCAGGCGTGAAAAGTGGATACCCTTCGTCCAGGAGCATACAGAACTTGGGGGCTTTACTGGGGCATTTCCGTTGCGTTTGATGCTCCCCATTCCACGCCGTGTCTCTGGATGCGCACAGTCTCTTCTTATTCTCTCTCCGGCTCAGATACCGCGAAGATGAACGATGGACCATCGAGAAGCACAAATGGAGCCTTCACAAAACACACCATCAATTAAAAGGCACGGAAAAGAAGGAAAACCGCAACGAGGCGTTCGCAAGAGTAATTTATTCTCTCCGGGAAGAGTCTGTCTCAATTTTTGTGCCTCAGGGTATCGTATCTGACGAGCAAATGACGTGGGGGCTTACCTTCATATTTCTTTCCACCTTCCCATCTCCACTTTCCCATCTCCAGGTGCTTCCTATTATGCAGGATAGCCGCGCTCACTTCGCTGCGAGATCGTACCACAAGCCCAGGCATTCCACAATATCATACACCCTAATACATGAAGCGACGTGGCCACGACCAGCCTACGTCCAGCGTCCGAGTCAGCGCTCGGTGAGAAGGGCGATGGAATGCCGACGAGTTATCATCGTAAGGAGATGCCACGGGTAAAAATAAAAATGGGGGAGCGGACAATGGGGAGTGTCTGGGGATCGAGAGTAGTGGTGACCGAGTGGGAGCGTGCACCGAGGGTAAGACTAGGAGGGATGCGACGACATGGAAGAGTTGCAAAGGTCAACTGGTCCTACAGCAAGTAGCTAGCATCCCTCGTCAGCCGGAGCCCATGTCGAAAAGAAGAGTGCCTTGAGATAGAGTGCACGTCGCACGAGGTCCATTGCCTCGACGATGCCATGATTCGGAGAGCGCTGACAGTGATCGGACTGCCTGACCTTGGCATCTGCTAGACACGCCCACGTGACGACAAGACTTACCACCTACTTACTGCAAGAGACAACCACCCCGTCAGATGCTCATCGTGCTCATCAGCGAGTCTCTCCTCAATCCGTAGAACCCCGAATAATAATTCGTGCGCCCATAGCTGCACGCCGGATGGACTCGTTCTGGTCGCTCGCCAACGCTGCGCACTAAGTACTCCGAGTCTCACACTTTTCAGTCGCATAATTTTACAGGTGGCCACCTGCGATCTGCACGTTATCCAGCAGTGTGGATAATATGATGTCAATGCCAGGCGAATTTGAACATCAAGTGGGCTTCAACCCCCTTTTCTACTCGCTCATTATTCTGTCCAGAACCATCATCGCTCGTCGCGTCGCTATCGAAGTCGAACCATGCGGCGACGGGCTCTATGCCAGAGCGAAGACTTTATAGGAGGATGATGTGCACTTTTCCACATTCTGTCTCCACCGTGAAATGTCTTTACACCATATCGGCGTGACCTGCTTTTTGCGTGTTCGTTGCAGCCCACGTCTGCGGCGTTGTGTACGAAGAGGTATGTCGACATTCTCATCTTGTTTTGCATCAGAGTGGACCATCCGAAAATGCTTTAGACTGCTTCCCCGTAAACTCGGCTTGCATCAGAGAATATAGAGCAAACAAGTAATATTTACTCACCTGGATATATATCCCCCCTGCGGTAACAGCATTGGTACTCCACCTGGTATATCTCTGCATAGAGTGAGTTGTCATCATATTCTTCAAAAAACCAGTCATATTTTTCGGCCTCATAGGTACCGAGCAAAAATATTCGACTTTGAGGCAAGCATCCTTGTGGAAGAGAATGTCACCGCTATTGTCGTCAGTCCGAAGAGTGGGTTGGAATGCTAAAGATGTGCGCAGGGGAATACCGCTTACGTGCAGAAAAGTACAAAGAATTCCTGGGAGGAGAAAGGACGTATACAATGTTCACCGCCGCGCGGGGGCACTTCCTTTGTGTTCACAGCAACCGCAAGGTGGCTCGTCTCAGATACTCAATGATGTTCCCTTCATCATGCAAAAGGTTGAGCGAGGGCACAGCTGTATAGTAATGTTCCACGCTCTCCTGCATAGTGCATGTTGAGAATAACTGATTCTTATCCAACCTCAGGCTTCCACATATGGATGGTACTTACAGTATGCAGATGTGCTGACGAATACGCTATCAATTTATCAGCTCCTCTGTCGACGACCAAGTATAATCGTCTTTGAATTTCCCGTACGGATCTGGAACCGTCTCCCACACGGGGTTTATCCCATGTCGCTCCAGCCACACTCCAATCTCCTTGTCGCCATCATCTGGCACCAATGGCCTGCAGTTCCTGAGATACTCCATACGCTGAGATTCGTTGTTCGATCTATAGATTAACGTCCCACAAACAGCTTGTCCCGTGCTGTCAGGGGCCCTGTGGCGCAATGCGACCGGCACTGCCTCCACTTCCGTGTATCCTTTAGATCGGAACCAGCGGTTCAGAATGTAGGTATGGCCGTTGCAAGGCGTAGTAGGTGATAGGATTTTATATATGACCACTCACCAGGGCTTCCACACCAGCGGCTGTACTGCGAATGCTAGCGTGCCTTCCTGCGCGGTGCAAAGAATGTGCACCCCTCGTCCTTGAGTGCGAGTTCCTCCTGCAGACTAGATTCGCCCACGTGATGTAGGCTCACAGCCCCGGTGCGGGCACTGCTTCCACGCCAGAACGCGGCTGGAGGCGCTGTTCTTTCTTCGAAGAAGAGCTCGGAGGATGGCGCGTACGTCTGCGAACATACCGACGCCCGGAGGACAGGGATGTCCGCGAAGAAATCACGACCTCGTCGATGCGGAACGGCGCTCACGCACTTGCGCACGGGCTTAGTCGCAGAGACGTGACGGCCAGGGCTTTCTTATGCAACACGTATGGTTAAGACTGTTATTAGGATTTCTGGAGTAGATGACGTGGCTGATTAGTATAAGTGCTAGCAGTGAGCTCTTTGTGTGCTTACTAACGAGATATAGATGAATGTAGGTGAACGTTAGGCTTTCGAAAAGTAAGGTAATTTGTTGAACAGACTGGATGATCTCAGTGGTCTAACATCATTTATGTATGAGCAATAACCGTATATTTGCTTGAGTTGGTGAGTGAGCATAGTTTGAGGTCGAGTCTGGGAAGGGCCTCGAGGCCAGCGACGATGCTTATATACAGACCTAGAAGTGGTAATTACTCTGTATTTCCTCTCCACCTCGTCCAATAATGCAGTGGGGCTCATTTCCCTTCACGGCAGTGCCAGCTCATTCCAGAGAAAGTTCCGCCACGAGAACAAAAACTTAGGTTTTCTGAATTGTGTTTTATATCATGGCAACATACTAGACAAGTTGTTGGGATGTAGACCGCGCATTTGCCGAAGATTGCTACACGTTAAGAAACCAATGAAAGTAAGGCATAGAAATATCAAACACCATGGAAGACGGCGGTTACGGAATACTGTACATCACCGTGAGAGAAAACGAGTTCAAACCCTCGTAGTATCAGACAGCAGCGGGCGATGAGGAACACTCATAAAAAACCTGTGAAGAACACACATCAGCGCATGCAACACATTCGAGGCAGCAGCTGGACATACAGTGCCGACCACTAGCCGAGAGCACTCAGACCGGACAAGAATGCTCTCCCACCAGTGTGGATTGCGACAGATCCTCGAACACGGGTCCTGTTCGCACCTTGCCCTTCACTTCGCCAGATAACAGTTTCTCCACCCATAATTAAGTAGGCGACGAAGCCATTGCTGCAAGTTTCAATCGGCAGAGCATCCAGATAATTCGTCACTTGTCGCATGTATGCATCGCGCTTCGCTGCATTATTTTTCACCTCTATCAAGGCGAGAACAAGATCCGATGCCGTACCCATGACTTCCCTGCCCTTCACAATGATAAAGTCAGGAATCCATATCTTCACCGATTCTGGATTCGTTTCCAACACGGGATCAATAAATGAAGGCCCCGATGCGGTCGAGGGGGCTGCGGGATGTGATTCGATGATTGTCCTTTCTTGTACTATCGGCTGCGGACAAATAATGAACCCCCGAGAAGGAGAAAAGATGTCGGCGAATATCGCATTCAAGGGACCATAAAGTGAATTCTCATAGCGAGGAGGAAACTTTATAAGCCGACCAAGGCGTTCATGGGACCAACGTGCGTGTGAGGCCTGCGCCATCTATCGGCAGATGAGCTTATCATAAAGCCGAAGAATGGCGAACACACTCACTGACACAATTGGGGACGATCAGGAAGTGACTGAAGCAAAGCGGGTAGGACGGAGGGCTGATGTAAATGCGATACGATTGCGAACGGGTACAGTGTTGGTGTATGCCGTCGGCGTGTCGATGAGGGAAGACTGGGTGACCGGCCTATACGATTTGGGAGCTGACGGAAGGCCCTCGAAAGCCTCAAAAGTTATATGTTGCACGGACTAGGGCGCCTGTCGATCATATGTCAGAGATGCTGCTACAAGCGCGGCGTTAGATCAAAACAAACTTTTTTTCCCTCAGGAGTCACTGGGCGCAGTGTCGTGGTAGAACAATTTTTTTCCGAGGAGTCACAGGGCGCAGCGCCGCGGCAACATCATCATTTCTTCGGAGGCATGACGGCATGGCAGAAGAACAAAATATTCTGGCGCAAGCAACACCCTGAGTGCATAACAGCAATCAGGCGGCCCAGCGCTGACAACCACGAGGACGCGACAGTCTCGCATCAAACAGGGTCGAATCACAAGGATCACGTACCGAGTGTCTCAAAGGCGGAAACACGGAATCAGGATGATTCCTCGAGGTGTAGACCTGTGTCAGTTGGACGAATTTCCGAAGGATCGAATGACTCATGGCGAGTTACAGAACAAAAAGAGAAACGCACGAATCATGAGGACGTTCGACGTCGCCTCATCACAAAGCCGTAAGATTTTAGGGTACATGCCCACCAATTGGCTGAGGAACTTGCTTCTGGTTTGCGGCACCATCAGATTTGTTCATGGAATAAGGGCTGGAACCCGAGAGAGAAAGCTAAGGGCATTTGGTGGCGCACCTGAATACATTCTTTATTAGTCCAATTCGATATGCGACATCGAACGCAGACACGAGTCTGTTGCTCGTTGTTGTACCTGCCGTCCCTGTGAGGTGAGCTCTGTTGCCCGGCGATTCGAACAAATTAGATTACTCGTACGCGTAGCAGCGCACCACTGCGACAGTAGTAATGGAGACCTGGACTTGAAGGTGCTGAAATGCCGTTCTAATTAGACAGATTGCACGGATGCGAGACAACAAACTTGGGGCAGCCGCGATGCTTCTCAGCGTGTGTGCAACGGAGGTGCTACAGATCGCGAGCAATCCGCACTCCCGCGAGTAATTGCGGTCTGTAGGCCCTAGGTCCGGTGCGGAACCTCCTCAGCGTCTCTCCGTAATTGTACGCTTGTACAATACCGGGCGAAGGGACCCACCAGAAGACACACGGTGCATCCGGCGTCTGCTCGGCGGAAAACACAGGATCAGTTCCTGAGCTACCTTCAAGTACCTCTTTTCGGAGCCTCGACAGATCTGAAATCGACTTGGTACCCCAGAACATGTGGAAGCACAGAACATGTGGAGGTACGAAGAAGCGCCACTAAGCTGATGGGTCCACTGTGACTCGGCGCTTGTCGCTGTCACCGTGTGTGGCGTCGTCGTCTTTCAAGTTGCTCTCAGGCCGAGTCTGTATTTAAAGCATCGCTGCTCGCCTTCAGACGTCTCACACAACCCTTCAATCTGCATCCGACTCCAGGCTTCAGACCTTAGGTATGATTATTGCTTATCTGTGAAGAACGTTGGCACCGATATCTGCTACCCTTACCATCTAGTCTACCCGAGGATCTGTCTTTACCTATCGACGCCTAACTTTCACCTGCTGTTTCCTACACGTCGTTGGTGCGTATGCGATGGTCACTGTCTACGCGCATGCTAACCAGCCGCGCCATAGCATCATGCCCTTGATCATTGGTGGCTACTTCTTGACCGATCAACAGTTGGCCACGCTGGGTGCTAAACGTGGTCTCAACATCCCCAATGGCGAAGCGCACATTTTGAACCGTCACTTCAGGTCCCGGGGAATAAACTCTCTGACCGCGGTTCCGGTGGCATTACGCCACAGGGATCGAGACAGTACCGGGGCCTACATTATTGGAACTTTGCTCCAGACTCAGAATCGGTATGAAGGGCTGACAAGTCTTAGAGACTGTAAGCCCTTCGAGCCAACTGAACAGGACCGTGAGATCGAAGCATGGCTACGGCGGTGTGGGGTAGATCCTGTGTGGGAGACAGTGCCGGATCCATATGGGAAGTCTAATCTCTGGGCACCGATCTCTTGAGGACGAGGTGTACAAGAAATAGCCGGGCGCAGTGTCTTGGTGGCTGCTGCCCACCGAGACACCCATACAATGCATTGATTTTTTCCTATGATCACTAAGTACACAGGAAAACTAATACATAGATCAGGGCGTGGTTGGAGGGTAGTTCAAAATATAACTAGCATTACCGAGATCGGATTGCTGTCAGTACGAGAAGAGGGCAGCGGGAGTGCGGACCCGCAAGGATGAACTTACCTAGTAGGCAGAGATGGGTGTCAGGCGAGAAGAGCAGCTGCCTACTACTGTAGGTTTTCGACCAATCCGGACAGGTTTTGCCTTTTTTGGATGGTTAGAAAAATCTCATAAAATCTCATAAATCGAGAAAAAATTATTGGCGGGGTCGTTGAAAATCCGTGTGACCTGTGACCGTCCGGATTGGTCGTAAACCTACAGTAAGTGCATCCCCCTATCCCGCGGACTGAGTCTCGCTGTTCCGCGCGGGGAGCAGGTCTCGCTGTTTCCGGTACTGGAAAACAGGGTGTGCACCTCGCCGGGCGCGCGTTCGCATTTCTTCGATTAGACTGGTGAAATCAACCTTTTATTTAACACCAATTTATGAGAAACGTGACAGCCACTCTGTCAATCCGAGTCCTCCCTGATTGTACTACTTTTCCTGGGATTCATGTATGGTTGATGGAGCATTGTCGTTGTCGATTGGATTTGTGCACACTAGGAGGATTGTAGGCTCGATACTGATTGAGTTGGGAGAAATTTGAGAAATACAACTGTGCTTAGTATGTAACCCCGAAATCGTGTACCACGGTGAAACACCCTCATTTGAAAGCAGACTAGTTGAACGATGTTGTTGAGCATAGGATACCGGGCACATCAATACCAGTGTGCTGCAAGTAGCCTAAGTGGAGTACAAAGCCCGAGTTCCGGAGGAGTGTGGAGTATACTGTATAAAATATGCAAGAAGTTGTACCGGTAGACTCGGTAGCGTGAAGCGTTGAACGCGACGTCGGCTATTCGACAATTGCGCACCGCATCCAAGCATCCGAGACCATCGAGCACTCTAGCAGCAAGTCATGTAGCAAATTTCGAACACGTCGAGGGCGTGTTTTGCGACGCATCATGTTGAATCTCAGAAGTCGCGCACTCTCTTGAACTTTACACGCTCTGCGCTTCTCGAAGTAAAATCTAAGTAAAGCCTCCGCAGGGAGAGGGAATACATCACGTACTCGCTTAGGCTCGAGCTCTCGGTATCAGGCGAGCTATAGAGGCTCGGAGTCAATAAAAATAAAATAAAAATAATTGGGCGGCTAAGACCCGGTGCTACCGTCGTATCTATGGTGTGCTGCAGAATCAAGGGGGTTTTTCTCGATGAGCCTGGATAGTATCGTATCATCCAGACAGAGTAGCATAGCATTCAATGTACCCCTGCTACAACGTGGAAAATGCAGTAAATAACAGCAATTACACAAAGATCATCAACACACAGCCAGAACATTTCACAACATACATCGACAAGTCAGCTACGGAAACACAACTAGTCCTGCATCACACCGTTCTCATTGAACTTCCCAAATGGATCAGGAACAGTCTCAAACACGGGATCCGGCACCCCATATCGCTGCAGCCATTCCTTGATCTGCAAGTCATCGTTGTTCTCTACAAATGAGACACAATCACGAAGACGCTCTACATTATCATCTCGCTTGTGAGTCGTAATCAACGTTCCGGTCACAAAGGGGTTTGAGGCATGCGGGTCCTTCTGGGGTAGAGCAACCGGGATCGCAGTACAATACTTGATTCCCCTGGAGAGCAGGTGCGAATTCAAAATGTACGCTTCGCCATTGGGGATGTTGAGACCACGTTTAGCACCCAGTGTGGCCAACTGTTGATCGGTCAAGAAGTAGCCACCAATGATCAAGGGCATGATGCTATGGCACGGCTGGTTAGCATGTGCGTAGACAGTGACCATCGCATATGCACCAACGACGTGTAGGAAACAGCAGGTGAAAGTTAGGCGTCGATAGGTAAAGACAGATCCTCGGGTAGACTAGATGGTAAGGGTAGCAGATATCGGTGCCAACGTTCTTCACAGATAAGCAATAATCATACCTAAGGTCTGAAGCCTGGAGTCGGATGCAGATTGAAGGGTTGTGTGAGACGTCTGAAGGCGAGCAGCGATGCTTTAACTACAGACTCAGCCTGAGAGCAACTTGAAGGACGACGACACCACACACGGTGACAGCGACAAGTGTTGTGCAGTCACGGTGTCACCTGGTGCTGTCATACAGGACTGAATGGAATATTCCATTCAGTCCTGTATGCATACCTTTGCAATGGACTGGGTGCGCGCCATGACGCAGGCTAACCTATGTACATACGTGACGAGGAAACACTGATCGGATGGCGGAAAGGGGAAGGCTACCTTCCTGCTGTGGCAATGCGCGATCGTCCTCTCCTCTCAAATCTCAAGGTCACACATCTCACATCTAGCTGCAGATACTCGCATCAAGGATGGGCTCAGGCCCACGTTTTTTACAGAATAGAGTGAACTATGCTTCGATTGAACGAAAGGAACTCTTTATAAAGAGCTCGTCTGAGTTACAGAGTGGATAGAACCTACAGAAATTCAGAGGACAGGTAGCTATTCTACGCGAGAATACAAATCCACTGAGGATTGCGAAGATGCGAAGACGTAACCAACTACTAAATGAGGTGAAACATCAAGGCTCGGCACCACATCGACTTCTTCGTCCGAGTCGGAGGATGATGTGAAAGCAGAGGTGTTACTGCGGAGTGGCAGAGCGTGCCGGATCGATGTAGGAGCATGCAAGCCAAATGAGTTCAACAGCGTGAGATAGCCCAGATAGGTGTGTGGTCATAGTCAAAGAGGATGGTGTCCATGATGCAGGACTGTCCGCACATCATGGCCCCTGAATGATATACCTCCTCAAATTCGCACTGTGTCAGGCATAATGTTGTTATACCCTTCCCGACCTTAGGTTAGGTTGGCTAACCTAACCCTACCGGCTTTTCGACCTGGGTGCCGTCGAACCACTGCAGTCGCAATTAACGTCCATCAGGATGCGTTCAAAAATGGACAGCAAAAGGGAATATACCATCAGGTCGACATGGATTGACGATAGTCCTGTGTTCTCGAAGACATGGTCCTTCATGCCACGCATGCACGCAAAAGGCCCAGCTGGTTGATAGGGATGCCGCAAACATCGCCAATGCTGAACAGCACAGACTCCCCGGTTGTCCACTTTGCCACGGGAGCAGGCATTGGGAGCTCAAACCGCGCACGCCCGGATGCCGGAGGAATTTTCCCTGGAGACACGTCCATCTACACCAAACGGTAGGGCCTGGGAATTGTAGGCCCAGGTTGGCACTGCAGCAGTGTGAGATTGCCCTGCAATCCACTCCAGTGAAAGGCATCCCTCGCCCTATACCGGGTCCGAGGGTGGAATAATCAGAATCAAAGGAAACTGGATTCCAGTGCCAGCACCAGAAGAGTGTCCCATGTTAATGAGAAATGGAATAAAAAAGATACGACGAGGGTCGCGATGTCGATGGCGCCGAGCCGTGCAGGATGACACCGCAAGGCATCGAGCGGCACCAGTGTGAATTCCTCGACACGAATAGTCGGACATTGGACAACAAATGTCGTCCGTGGTTGAAAACATGGTCGCCTCTGGTATCTGGCGAAGAAAGTGTTATCAATCGAGAGAGCTAATGCACAAAGAGAAATGAACACACCTTGTAAGATAATGCATGCGGAATTGTACGCATAGAGAACATCGGGGTCGAAGTATAGCGGTTGGCATTTGTTGGGTGGCAGAAGCGGAGGATTGAGAGACAGGACTCGTTAGATGCCCTCTTTTATAGAGGGATGGCAACGGCGCTTACCAATGTACAAACAATGCATGGATCCAAACAATGACAAAAGTGTGACCGCCACTTGTTTCGGTACCCAAGGAAACGGCGACGATGACGTGTTTTCGGCTTATTGCTTATTGTTCGCGGCTTTGAGGTCCTCCGACGCTTGAATATTTAACACAAATAAATCTGTAGCTTGTAAGTGTTGCAGGTACTATCATTGACCCTGAAGTGCAAAGTGGCCTAGTAGTGCAAGATGCCGTCTCTCGGGAATTCTACTCCACCAAAATTCACGAAAAAAATATGGAGTAGCTACAATTGTCCCTAGGATTTTAGACATGCAATTTGAGTGCAAACTGCCTTGAGGAATAGTATGTGCTCTGCGACTTGCAAGACAGACGTGCTTTAGGCGTGACAACGAAGCGCTGGAGTTTGAGCTCCGACTAGAGGACAGACAAGGCAACGGCATATCGGCACTTGTGACGATCTGTGACCAATTGGGCGCTCTTCCTTGCAAATGACTCTCTTCATCGCGCTTACTCTCAAGATGACACAACATCAAGAAAAAAAATACAAGAGGTATCGAAGACATACTTTATATGTTAGACATTATGTAGGAAAAATCCCGGGGTCAAACGGGCTCGGTCTGAATGCATGGTAACAGAAGTGCAAAACACCTTACACTACCAGGTCAATGATAGTAGTCGACAAGTATACTTTATCAAACAACATCTCCATGTGCCTGCCGACCACACCGGCCACACTCCCAGGAAATGATGTGTCGACACATTTTCCGAATGAAGTGTTCAGGAGCTCCATAAGCTTCTAGCGGAAGATCGGTCAGCAATTTGGGACATGTCGCGAAGACCTTACTGTGGGACGTGCATCCCATCTGGTCCTGTGGAGTACTTCGCGGCCATTAGTGGACAAAGTCGAATTTTCCCCTGCACCGCTCATGAACTCTGGGCCCTCTTAGGACGAGCGAGTAATAATTGCAACGTAATACGTGGCACAGGTCAGCATGCCCGTTCAGAGAAAATGTTCATGCACTCTTCGTCTATGAAAAATGCAGTGCCAACATCTACATAGTGATCATCAGCGCGAGTGCAGAACAAACTAAGTGAAAAATAGATCTTACTGTCCAGGAAAGTGAGAGAGAGATTGCGCGCCAGACCGTGCAGATGATGTTAGAATGACGACCCTGTTGAGTCCGTCGGGCATTAGACATGCAACTATAAGGGCCATTTGGAGACGAGAACGACTTACTGTGATCACCAAAAGCGCTACATCGAAATGCAATGGCAACAACACTGATTCATTCACTAAATGCTTCCCACTCAGGCGCGTCTCCTGCGGCCAGCAGGCTTCTGGCAAACCGACACTGACGAGATGATTCCTACTAGTACAGGTATACCCATGCTGAGTAACCATGTCAGTTGTAACGCCTAAGCACAAGCACAAGGTGATATATTTGTAAATACCCAAGTGGCCTCCCCGTATTGAGAAGCTTGCTGCACAAGGGAAGACCTGTGAAGTTGCACTACTAGTAGGACCCCTAATATGAGCCATGTTCAGATGTGCGAGAAATAGAGGACTGCCGGTCAGATACGGATATCCTGAGTCACGAAGGTTGAAGCAGAGTAGCTACAACCGCCTCTGGGAGGCTAGACTGCGGCCACCTATGTCCAGCACAAGTCCAGGACCATTATGGAAAGACTTCCCGAATTTTGTTCTGGAGCGCATTCAGTGACGACTCCTCGATGACCACGTTAACTGGTGTCGAAGTCTGGGCAGAGCGCACACTGGAAAAGACAACAACAGTGGCAAGCAAGGTGAAGCTTCTCTGAGTGATCCCTTCCGTACTCCAAATTAGCGAATTCATGAACTTTGCCAGTGGCCAGTTTCAAATGTAACGCAAGTATGCGATACAGTAGCATTTAATACAGAGGCTATATGCGACACAGTAGTATCTAATAGAGACTATATGCAATACAGTAGCATTTACTAATACAGAGGCTACAGTAGCATTTAATACAAAGGCTACACACGATAGTACAGCACATCAGAGGTAAGGAAAGATCAAGCGGAGGAAAATTGGAAGAAAGGATAGATCATCCGACCAGCTATCTCAAGCTATATCGCGTGACATGGTTTGCGAACTGGTAGGTATACTTGTTATTCAGTGCCTTCAATCACTGCTGGAGTGCGCTTGCTTGATGGTATTGGGTCGATTTCGTTGCTCTTCGAGTCGGGTGGCTTACCCAGTTCAAATGGGAAAGTGCCTTGTCACCCTGTGGCCACCCATTCATTGAGGCTTTGTATGTGAGGAGTTCCGTCTTGTCGTCATGCCTAACTGCTTTAGAGACCAGTGACCTCAAAGTTTCAAGAAGATGCATTAGAGGTGCATTACCTGGCACCATCAGCGGCTCCTCGAGAAAACCTGTCTTGTGAAATCGACAGGAAGTATTACCACTGCCTTCAAAGACCAGGGAAAAAGATGTCAATTGAATGATTTGGTTCGTAGACTGGTTACCATCTAATGTAGATGTTTTCTCTGCCAAATTTGACTCACCAAAACATTGCAGGGAATAGGGTGTACCTTGTGCGCGACCGCGGAACTGGTAGCAAGCTGACTTTGAATGGGAGTGTGAGCGAGTCACCACGGCCCACCACTTCGCCTCCCTGCGGTCCCACTACGATAGAATGCCACAGGTAAACTCAAACCCTGGGCCATATCCTCAAGTCGTCCTGGTATGGTGTGGCTGCAGGTGAAGATTTGACGTCGCAGATGTCACCGGTCAAAATGGAAGCATCAACGGCAGACACTCCAGCACCGTGTCAGGGGAGATAGACCTTCAATGAGTGTGAGGACTGTGCATAGAACTAACGTGTGCGGCTCGCGGTGTGCGATGTGTTGGAGGGCGTATTCCATAACAGAGAGGACATATGGCCCTGTGTCGAGTTGCGACTGAATCATGTCGAGGTTGTATGTGTGTATGAGGAGTGGATGGTCTGATGAAAGAGGGAAGAGAGAAGGTGCTCATATACCTGGCTGGCCGTGGCCGTGGCAACGGCACACAAAGAGTAATAATGGCTTGGTAATGGTGGCACCATCGCCACCGAGCCACAACCTTATGGAGCAATGGATTAAAGCACTGACCGTAAGCTGTTCCTCAGAAAGGATGTCAGCTCGATCATGCACTTATTGTTGCTTATGCGTCTGCATTTTAACGGACGATGGTAGGGTGGTCAGCAACAAAGAAAGAACAACCATACACAGATTGCCGAAGAGTAAAAATGTTTGCACAGACTGACCTTGCCTACTGCAGTTCCGCTGTGGCACTACTGCCTTCCACGCTCGTTGAACACTGAGCACCAACGCGTCTCTTCCGACGTGCACGATATTTACAGCAGGTGTTTCGACAGGAGACTGCTGGCCCGATGAGGACTACAAGTCGCCCACATTTTATGATCCCAATCACTCGGACTCGCCCAAGGCACGAGGGAATGGAGTGAATGCGTCTTGAGCGACAACTTACAATGCTTTGGGTGGACCTCGCAAGGAACCCCTGCGCGCAACGGCATAGACATCTCAGATAGAGGAAACAAGAACGACACCTGAGCACTCATCGCTCAGGCATCGGAAGCCTCCAGTGAGGACGAGATGCACAAAATGAAGCACTGGGGGGCATGATGGAATCTGCCGCGTACCCGATGCTGCTCTTCTACCTCCGCCATATTCAATATAAATCATGCTCGTATCGAACGTCTGACCAAGGGGTAATCATCTTGAGATCTAGAAGACATAGCTTTAGCATCGCTAAGCTCAACAGAGATAGCCGAAACTGAAGCTCGTAACCTGATTGTTGAACGAAACAGCACTGTGTGGGCCGGTGTCAACATTTACGTCTTGCCCTGTCGAACATCTGGAATTACAAGAGAGCCATATCAAGGCACGAGACAAGGACCGGCAGGCGTGGAAAGTGGATACCCTTTGTCCAGGAGCATACAGGACTTGGGGGCTTTACTGGGGCATCTCCATTGCGTTTGATGCTCCCCATTCCACGCCGTGTCTCTGGATGCGCACAGTCCCTTCTTGTTCTCTCTCTGGGTCAGATACTGCGAAGACGAACAATGGACCATCGAGAAGCACAAACGGAGCCTTTACAAAACACACCATCAATTAAAAGGCACGGAAAAGAAGGACCACTGCGATGAGGCATTCGCAAGAGTAATTTGTTCTCTCTGGGCAGAGTCTGTCTCAATTTTTGTGCCTCAGGATATCGTATCTGATGAGCAAATGACGTGGAAGCTTACGTTCATATTTCTTTCCATTTTCCCATCTCCAGGTGCTTCCTATTCTGCAGGATAACCATGCTCACTTTGCTGAAAGATCTTATCACAAGCCCAGGCATTCCACAATATTATACACCCTAATATATGAAGCGACATGGCCACGACCAGCCTACGTCCGGCGTCCGAGTCAGCGCTCGGTGAGAAGGGTGATGGAATGCTGACGAGTCATCATCATAAGGAGACGCCAGGGATAAAAATAAAAATGGGGGAGTGGACAATGGGGAGTGTCTGGGGATCGAGAGTAGTGGTGACCGAGTGGGAGCGTGCGCCAAGGGTAAGACTAGGAGGGATGCAACGACATGGAAGAGTTGCAAAGGTCAACTGGTCCTCTAGCAAGTAGCTAGCATCTCTCATCAGCCGAAGCCAATGTCGAAAAGAAGAATGCCTTGAGATAGGTATAAACATGTCGCACGAGGTCCATTGCCTCGACGATGCCATGAAGAGTGCTGACAGTGATTTTACATCCACCAAATGCACTGAGGTGCCCATACGGGCACTTATCAAATTTGGCAGACATACACACAAAATCGCGGCTACTACTACATATACACGTACCATAAGTAACGATCTGATACATGTCCGACACTGGGAAAGCTCAACCGCTAACCAACAACGTGTTGGCCATACAATCGCTGCAGAAGTTGTTAGGGTTACATATCGCAAATGTGATGGAAATTAGTAGATATGAGGGCAACAGAAGATATTGGCATGACGAGGAGCTCCATAGTAGTTTCCGACTGTGACAAGCAGGGATGCTTGATCATAACAAATCTGTAAGGATGACACATCAATACAACAACCAGGAGGTAATGCTAGAACATACAGTGTTCATTCAATCAATGGAGAGCTTTGAGACGGTATAAGAATGCCTCCCCTCCAGTTGCAATAGTGGCAGATTCTTGGACATGCGTCTGGTTGGCACCTCGTGCTTCACTCTGCCAGACAAGAGTGTCTGTACTCATTATCAAGTAGGCGATAAACCTGTCGCTACACTCTCCGATCTGCAGAGCATTCAGGTAACTCAAAACCTGCTGCACGTATGTTTCCCGCTGTTTATCATGGCGTTTCACCTCGATCAAGGTGAGAGTGAGGTCGAATGTCATACCCATGGCTTCACTGCCTTTCGAAATCACGAAGTCCGGGATCCAATTCTTCAACAGAACTTCACCTTGCGGCAGATCCAGGTCGTCATATGATGGCTCTGGGGCAGCCGAGCTAGCTGCAGGAGCTGACGAGACGGGAACAGCGTGGTGTGCTGATTGATGATGACTGGCAGAGGGCGGCAATTGCGCTACAACGTTCATGGGTGTTGGACCTACCACTTCCTGCAGTAGTGCCTGCGGTGACACTAGAAATTCCCGAGAAGGAGGGAAAATATCCATGAAAATCACATTCAAAGGGCCATATAGGGAATTCTCGTAGGTCTGAGGGGGATCCAGTGACTGCTTAAAACGATTGATGAACCAACGAGCATTCGGAGCCTGCGCCATCTATGGTCGAGTGAGCTCATTAGAAGACGAAGGATCGTGCACACAATCACTGACATGGATGTGCCTCTTCGAGAACTGGGCGCGTTCTAGGTGTGGATGAGGTGAAGTCCTTTAGACAGAGAGCTGACGATAGAGCGATGCGATTGGCGAGCGGGTGTAACGTTGGTGTGTCAGCGAGGGAAGACTGTGCTATTCGCAGGTACGGTTTGGATACTGACGAAAGCCCCCAAATGCCTCGTAATTTATACGTGGCGCGGTCGGCGCTTTATTGACCATTTGTCAGAGACGACACGGTAATTTCGCCAGATGCATCACCAGGTGTGAGCAGCGAGGCAGGAAAAAGGTTTTGGCAGTGAATCGGTAGGCATAAGCAACGCCATATAGAAACAAGCCACCAGACGCAGCGTCGTAACAATTACCGTATGTGGCGTCATGATAGAATGAACTTTTCAGGGGTCACTGGGCCCAGCACTGTGGCAAGACTATCTTTCCTTCGCAGGCGCACACGGCACCACAGCAACACAAAACCAATCAGCGGTGCCAAGATCCAGTGAGGAAGAACATCGAGCATCAAGGTACCCAGCGCCGAAAACCACGAGGATCCAGCAGTCTCTCGCATCAAAAAGATTTTAATCGTGAGGGACATGAACCGAGAATGTCAAAAAGAGAAGCACACAAACGCGGTGATGCGGCAGGGAAGCTGTATTAATCGGACGACCTTCCAACGGACGATTTTTAGTGACTCGTGGTGAGTCAACGAGGAAACAGTCAACGAGGAAACACACTACTCACGATCATGTCAGACATCACCTCAATCGCAAGCCGTAGGATTCTAGGGCTCATCCGCTGATAGGCTGAGACTCCATTCGTTTCAGGAGTGCGGCACCCTTTAGGGTAGCTCATGGAACTAAGGCTGGAATCCGAGAGTGCACACTATGGCGTACCTGATGAAACCAACCCTGTTTCGAATGAACTTCTCACCAAATCTTCACATTATTCTCGTGCTTGTTGTTGCGCCCACTGTCCCTGTGAGATGATGAGCCAAGTCACCCGACCTCAGGCGATCTGTGTAGAATTACCCAGGAAACTTGAACAAAATCGGATCGCTCATGGTACCGAGTGTGGGTGGAGATAATGAGTTGAAGGTGCCGGAAACAATCACTACCTAGACGAAAATCGTAGGAGTCAGAGAGGGCGGGTTCTCGTGGAGACGGTTCTTACAGCAGATATTGGTCTGCGTTGCGGCAGTCTAAATTGTGAATAGTCCGCAGTCGGCCACATGCAATCGCGAGCAATCATTGTATTATCATCTTGTGGGTCCGCGCGGAACTTCCTCCGTGCCTCGCCGTAACAAGTTGTACACTTGTGTAACCATTTGATGTCAGGCCTGGACTAGGACAGAAGGGGAGACATGCTGTATCCGGGCTCCGCTCATGATCAATTGATCAGCCGCCCTACATCACAGCCCCTGAGCTACCAGTGAAGTTCCGTCCCAGAAGAAATGCGTGGAAGTAAAGGAGACGGAGAAGTGCCATTTAGGAACCCTTCGGCGCTCACCGCCACTGCGCCGTTATGACAAGCGCTCAGCGTGACTCTTTCAGAGGTGTGGCCAAGGTGTAGCGTCGCCCTGCTTCTCGGTATATAAACATCGGCACTGGCCTTGAGACGTCCCAGTCTCGACTGCGAACTGTACTTGTGTATCCAGCTTAAGCCTCAGGACTCAGGTATGTATGATCATTGCTCTTACTGAACGACATCGGTCCGATTGCTCTCCATCTAGCCTATTCAACCAATTGCCTTGGCCGTAAAAGCCTGACGTTCACCTATCCCTCGTTGGTGGGTGCACGAAACTCACTGCTAGCGCTCATACTAAACGGCCGTATCGTATAGCATCATGATCTATGTCATTGGCGGCTACTTCTTGACCAAAGAACAGCTCACCACCTTCGGTGCTAAGCGTGGTCTCAACATTCCCAACGGCAAAGCTTACATCCTGAACTCCCACCTGCTCTCCAGGGGCATCAGATCCTGTACTGCAGTCCCGGTCACTTTGCCTCAGAAGGTCCCAAACTCTGAGGAGCCTGTTGTATGTGGGACTTTGATTACTACTCACCAGCGAGATGATAAAGCGGAGCATTTCCGCGATTGCGTTCCGTTTGTAGAAGACGACGATGATTTGAAGATCAAGCGCTGACTGTAGCGACATGGGGTGTCAGAGCCTGTGTTCGAGACAGTTCCTGATCTGTTTGGGAAGTTCAACGAGGACGGTGTATTCATTGATTAGTTCAGCATTCACTTTTGATTCGTCGAAGTGCATATTTTAATAGCTCGTGACGTGTAGATACTTGTTGCAATGACTATTGGGAAGTTCAGGGAGAACGGTGTGAATAAAATATCTCTTCCTTCATGTACCTGAGGCCACCTGTAGCTGGCACAGTAATATATAAAAGCCTGTACCTACCAAATATCTAGTCTCGCAAGCCAGACATATATGCTGTGCCGTTCCTCGGCTCCCTCAGAGGCTGCCGAGTACCAACGTCGGACATCGAAAAAACCACTGCAGCCAGCTAGTGTTGCTGCAAGGTGAGGTCAAGGTACCTCTGTAGTCAACTGCACCTCAGGCTACTATCATTGACCTTGAAGTGCAAAGTGACCTAAAAGTGCAAGATGCCCTCTCCTGGGAATTCTACTTCACCAAAATTGACCAAAAAATATGTAGTAGTTGAAATTGTCTCTAGCATCTTAGACATATAATTTGAGTGCAAACTTCCGTGGGAAGCACTATGTGGTCCACAACTTGCAACTTGAAGGTGGACGTGATCTAGGCAAGACAATGTGTATTTTGAACTCTGACTAGGGACAGACAAAGGAATAGCATGTCGGCAATTGTGATGATCTGTGACTGATTAGGTGCTCTTGCTTGCAAATGAGTCTCTTCCTTGCACAAGTTCTCAAGGTGACATAACATCAAGAAAAAATTATGGGAGGTGTTGAAGGTATGCTTTATATGTTAAAGATTATGTAGGAAAAATCCTGAGGTCAAATGGGCTCAGTCCAAATGCATGGTGACAGAAGTGCAAGACACCTTGCACTACAGGGTTAACGATAGTATGAGTAGAAGAGGATAGAAATTAGTTATCTACCTAGGAGCCTGTTCAGCTCCTTATATACTGTGGACTAAAAGACTAGAAAATACCAGACTATTCTCGAGGCATTGTCCTTATTAATTCTAACCTTACAGACCTTTCCCGGACCTTTCTCATCAGGAAAACCCAACTTTCTCTTATGGACTTATTTAGACTTTTGGGTCTGACAACCCTTATTTAAGGCCATAAGTGTTCAAATAAGTCAAATTTCAGACACTCAGGGAATATGCCTTAGGCCCTTTTTGTCCTTATGTCCTTAAATAAGGACCATAAGTCCATTTAAGTTATTTAAGTGTCCTTTTAAGGAAAAGTGGGGTTTTCCTGATGCTGTAGGTGCCGGATTGCTAATCTGCACACCTCCAACACATCCCCTCAATCCAGCATCTCCAAAATTCATCAGCTATCCTGGCTGTGGTTCCCACTTTTGTATAACAATAGCCCAGGTAACTGAATAAGATGTTGTTCACTACTCACTAGTCATTGTCAATTGTCAAAGTCATTGTTAACAACAGTCTGAGAGGATTGTAATACAATAACAACTTGTACAAAACAACTTCCTCAAGACCAATGCGTCACTTCACAGTGAAGCACATGCAATGCATTGCAAGATGCATCTGCATGAGAACAACACAGTACCAAGCTGACAAAGCTCTGCATGACTGCCACACAGATGGAGTCTCCATCAAACATGCCATGCTCAACCTCCGAGTTGCCCCTGGCATGCGACAGGCTTAATGACAATGCAGGAACACTGAGACCCGCCATCCTTCCCCGTGCTCCACTGCTTCCGTGTTACAATGGTACGCAGTGTACCTATCTTTTTTCTTTCTGACTATGTTGTACAATTATGCGTTGATTCGAGACTTTGAGTCTTGACGCTTCTCAACTTGATCCGGACTCTATTTAGACCATGACATCATAGTCTAGAACCAGTAGTGACTCATCCCTCACTGTGAGGGTACTCGTTGACTCAGCCATTACTGGCATGTATTACTCAGCATGTACTATTAGTATATAAGACTGAGATTGTCGACTGGACCCCCAGTCTCAATCTGGTTACTTTACCTTCAATATATGGGCTTTCCACTTAGCCTTCATGTGAAGATACTTCGTGTGTGCTCAACAATCGACACTCAGTCTTAGTGGTATGCCCCAGCGTAACATAAGATCGAGACTTTTGATACTGCTCAACCTCTTTAGGTTCAGAGCAGCACTACTCACACAGATAAACCGAACCTTTGCCGATAACACCTAGCAGGGCGAGTTACCCGGGGTGTGGAAAGGTAGTGAAAACATTGACAGACTGGACTTTCGAGAAATAGAAGAATTTTCGTGCCCTAGACCTTCATCGATAAGGTGGGACAAAAACCTAGGATACCCGGTCCACCGAGCCTCGAACTCAAGAGAGTATTGAGCCCTCCCTAGTATCAGAGAAGGGAGACCAGGTTGGAGAATTGCATCAGATAAAACAACCTACCGAAGAGTTCTTGAAGAATTCACCAGAGACTATCTGAACGAAGCAGAGCGCTTCGCGATTTTTACCGAAGCAAGACGAAACATTAACCAACTACTCGACCCAGCGGAAATACAATGAGGAGTTGACGAAATAACCCCGGGACACCCATTAGCTGAAGCAGCAGCAGCAATAACAGAAGCAGAATTGGAAGTCATTTCCATGCAGCACACGATAGCAGGAGCATGACGATACACAGAAAGGATGGAAGTGTTGGCATTAAGCATGGGAGATAGAATCCAGCGACAAGAGGAGATGCTAGCGCTGATGTTTGCTCAGATGAACGCATACCAACGGCTCATCGAGTTAGATGCAGACACCACACAGCCGTTCCTACCTAGCTTCTTGACAGACATGCCACCGGAAACCCCACAAGAAGAGGCATCTCCTGTACCCCACCTCGACCATCGCATCTTGTCATCGATCTCATAACGGTTCCTACCCCACAACTGTTCAACATATTAGGAGACACCTCAACGTCTTCTCTCCCGACGTCGACTCGCGACGGCTTCTCTATTGCACACCCTCTGCATGCAGAACCCCCTCCAGACTACATACCAGAATGGAACTTCAGTGGAAGTCCTAACCATCATGCTGAAGGGTTAACCCCGATGACAGCAGAGGATGCTACGCAGACCGAGGTAGTCGGGCACTTCGACCAGTTGAGCCAGACTCTCATTGACGTCGACAGAAGTGAACCCCCATTCCCTCATGCCTTCTCTGCGGCACTCATCAGCCCCCAAAGGACCATCCCGTCATATGTCGCGTACCAGCGACCACACCCCCAGTGTGTATTCTGTGAACAGTATACTCATCCGAAGTACACCTGCCCATTCTCCATCTGTGTAGTCTGCCAAGCAGTCCCTGCATCTCACGACCCAAACGCATGCCCTGTTACAATGCTCCTTACTTATGGCGCATCTTTTCTTTTTCTTTTCTTTGTTCCCTTTACGTTACCAGACCACATGATCCAACATGTGACTCATCGGAGCCCAACCTCCAATTCTTTATCCAGATAACCAGAACCCCTAGTCTAGGGTTACACCAGATCCAACTCCGGACCTTCTTCTTATCACACATGCAAGATGTGCATGTATGCCTCATCTTTACCTTGTTCTGATACACGACTTGTTATCCCCATTAGTACTGGTTATCTCTCACGATCTTACTCAGCGTTCCCATACATATTACTTCCTCACTGTTACCTTGCCCAGGCATCGTTTCACCTTATTTAGCCAATGGACGATCTCGTATTACTGCGTAGTACTGCAGATACCTTTTGTATAAGTAGACGACCTCATCGAGCTGGATCCCCATCTCGACCTGGTTACCATTAAACCAGCTTTTCACTTGCCTTTGACTGAGATCGACTGTTAGTAGCAGACAGCTACTATGAGTCATAAGAACGAACCTTGATCGACCTTCAGTGCGAGGACATTGCCAGAAGTGTCTCTTGAACGGACTTGTGTCGTAAACTAAGACCTGGCCTCGTGACGACTTGACTTGATGCTCGTGTTTCGCTGTCGTGTAACATTAGGTCGAGATCTTATTACTCTCTGTGACTTCCTAAAGTCTAAACAACGAACTACCGACCGGACCGAACCTTGAAGACCGAACGATACACCCGATTTGATTGCTAAAGCACCGTTTGAGATTACTCTGTAATCGAGGTAGCTGAAGGGATAGACGGATCACTTATCTTCGGAGAGGGGTCTGTCCGAGAGACCAATAGGTCAAGGAGGCTGAGGTAATCACTCGAGCAATCAGCAAATAGGTGTACCAGTTTGAAGATAGAAGACACTCTATGGGCTTGTTAGCTAACGATGAACGAACCCACTTAGTTAAGGATGGTGTGCAGTCTACGTGTAGACATAGGCCACACAGAAGAATTTATCCACACTGGATTTAAACTACATCAACCCGACTGCTCTTCCAGAGCAGTACCGCGAGCACCTCCCATCCCAAGCGGAGTGGAGCACAGAACGAAACACACATTTTATAGGAGGAAGGCCTGTATTTATCAGGCCAGACAATCATAACTTCGACTACTCCCCAGAGGAATTTGAAAGGACACTCCCCCATAATCTTGGTGGAATAGTGCTCCAGCACATCGCAGACAGCGGTATAACGACCTCCTATCCAGGAGAGAGACCAGATGCCCCTTGGAACCCCCCTGCCCAGAATCCTGTACCTCAACTGACTCTTGCACCAATCGTACCCGGTTACATACCACCAATGGAGACAGTTACCATGGATGAAGGACGTCACCACATCAGTCAGAAGGAACTTGGTTTTAGAAAACCCGAGATCTTCAACGGTTCAGACCGTTCGAAGCTTAGGGAATTTATAAACCAATGCAAGAATTACATGGCTGGAAATAGCCATGTCTATCAGGAGGACAACCAGAAGATTGCATTCGTGCTATCACACATGCAAGGAGGAACAGCAGCATCATGGGCGCAGAGCTTCATAGAAACGGAACTCACCAATGACGACTTCCTTTCTTATGGAAGTTGGAGAGAGTTCATTGCAAAT